TGCATAAAGGCAATCGAAGCATCCGTCCAGAATTCTCCACCCTTGTTCTGCACCACGCGACTGTAGATCATGGCATCCGTAACCAAGTTTCCAAGGTTGCACTCCCTCATCCGGCAGATGTTGCCGCCCTCGAGGAACACCTTAGTGTAACCCAGGATCATGTTCTCCAGCTCCTCCAGCTTGGGACGATATACGTCCAGCAAATCCAGCAGATCCTGCTCCTGAGCTATGGAGGCATTCAGCAAAATGGGAGCACCGTCAAACTCGATCAGATTGCCCTCGGCATCGAACTGCAAAGTGGAAATTACAAAAAAAAATAAACAAATACAACAAAATTTCTTTTATAAGTGCAAAAATATATGGAGCTTACCTGAAGATGAATCTTTCCGAGGTACTTGGTGTAGGCATATGCCTGCACCACCGGAACTTTCTTGCCGCTCGCCTGCACCACTGTGGTGGGATAGGGACCTCGAACCGCCTCCGGATTTGAGTCAGTGGGATCGGCCACCGGCTGATTGGCATCCAAGAATGTGTGCGAGTGGCCACCAATGACCACGTCCACCTCGGGGCAATTCTTGGCTATCTCCTGATCCTTTTGGTATCCAGAGTGGCCCAGGGCGATGATGATATTGATGCCTTGAGCCTTCAGCTTTTCGGCCTCCGCACTGGGGAGTACATTAATTAGATAATTCCCGCTCTTCAGCGGATTTTAGTTATACCCACTTGATGGACACGATTTCCTCCTCGTACTCCACTTTATTCCGGAAGGCCAGCACCTTGGTATCGGGCGTAAGGTAACCGATCACGCCAATCTTCACCCCATTCTTCTGAATGATCGTGGAGTTGGCTAACTGCTTGGCAGCCGCCAATTCGGGCACATCGGTGAGGTTCAGATTGCAGGCCAGAACGGGGAACTCCACGGCATTGAGGAAGGGCACCAAACCCTCAACATTCTGGTCGAACTCATGGTTGCCCAGGGACTATTCAAATGCAGGTTCATAAAATATAGTGAGCGAATGCGGATAACATCAATTAATAGTTACAATAGCATCTGGCGACAGCTTGTTGAGGAAAGCACTGGCGATCTTGTCCTTAAAGACGGTGAACCAGGCAGTTCCGGTGTAGGTGTCCCCCGCATTGAGATAAAACACTGGAGTTCCACCCTCCTCCGCCTCCTTGCGATACTTTCGCACCCTGGTTTAAGTTTGGAAGCTTAATTAGCAGAACTCTGGGCAACCTGACGCACTTACTCGTAGGCCACCCTGGCGAATCCTCCATAGCACTGGTCCGTATTGGCTTCCTCCTTGGTGCAGGTGCCACTGGTCACACTCGTCTGCTCGAATCGAGCGTGCATGTCGTTGTTGTGCAGAATGATGAACTCGGCTGCCACTTCCGCCCGGGGAGCAATGGGATTCGGCTGCACCGGATGAATCAGTAGGGCCAGTAGGCAACATGAGCCGATAAGCAAGCTCCGGGCTGGTAACATTTTGGTGCTGGAGCAATAAACACTATCGCTGATAAGTTATCATAGACGAGGGGATGAAAAGGGGGTGGATAATCGTTGGTGAAATCGTATTAAGCACTGATTGCATGATTGCATGGAAACTGGTTTGTTGCACACACCAAAATCATTTTCTTCTAATAGAAATGCACTCAGTACTAGCACTTAAAAAAGCGTATTATTAGTGGTAGTTCGTTTCTTATCTATCAGTTTTACACAAGTAATGGGAACACTTCAGCCGTTGTAAACCAGATTTTCTACTTAGGCTGTTGCAGGTCATTTTCGACCTTATCATCCACGGCTGAGAGTCAAATATTTATCAATCACGAGCGTGCAGAAATCGCAATTTATTATTTATTGGCTGCTCTAAATCTAATCGCCGCCTATCACACTGCGTGTGCAAAAACACACAAATCCCCAGTCCATTCAGCTCGACTATTGTCCATCCCCCACTTCACTGGGCCAACTGGTTTTGAATTGAACTCGGAAACGAGCTCCAATGTCAGCCAGCTTATGGCGTTGGCCGAAAAGCTAACTCGGCCTAAAAGCCCTGATCGCCAGCGAAAACAACTCTAATACCGCCGCAAGCTCGAACTGCCAAATAACGAATTAGAAAACTCAGCGATCGCTACTCACATGCACTCGTCGCACAGTCCGAGGGCTAACTGGCCCACCAAAATTGGCCGAGAGTGCGAGAACCGTTATAGCCGAAAACATAAAGCCGAGTACCCTAAGCAGTAAACCGAATTTACTGACTCGCGAGCGGTCTGATTACGATAACGCCTCGTATTGCGGGTTAATATGGTTGAGAACGCCACTGCTCTTTCTGCGATGCTCCACTGTACTTGGAGCCGTTTTGGGAGCCGTCAGAAGCAGGCTTATCGCGCGATTATCGACGGGTTTAGATCAGATAACGGTGAATTGGCAATATCTATCTGTGTATCTGACTCATAGTCAGCCGGACGGAGCCAGGTAGTTAGTCCAGCAGTTGTCCAAACACAACGCGGCGTTCCCACGACGAAATATGAAGGGCACGAAAAAATATATACAGTGCGCTCTCGGTACGGAGAATTTACATTCAGTGTAACTGCAGCTTTAACAGCATACAAGTATTACTGAGTATATACAAAAATGCATTCAAAGATCGTAACTTCGAACACATATTTTAGAAAAAGCGTACTCCTAAATATTATTAGCTAAAAGCTAAATAGCTAAACATGTGTAATTAGTTGCCATTTTGGTACATTGCTTACTGTTCAAGCCAAGCATTTCCACTGTCACGAAATTATACGCAAAAGGGTATTTATTTAGGGCTTTCACTGTACTTATTTTTTGAGTCTCCGCCTGCGCCGATCGATCGAACGTCGATCTTTGTTGTTAATTTCCCGAAAATTCCACACAAGTGTCTTCTGCGAACATAAGGCGCATTCCATTAATAACAACGAGTTTCTTGATTTGTTTCAAAGATTCATGGCCATTTTGGATTGATAATATGGGGGAGATGCAATTGACGTTTTGGTTAAATTACTTTATGAGTGCACTGCGAGCTTGTAGCCACATGATGTGATCGCAATTGCCGGTTTTGGGCACAGTACACCCCCAATAATCCGCCGCCACTTGTCGCGTGCTTTTCAAACTGTTCAATCATATACGTATGTACGTATTATATGGCACTGTGGACACAACAGCTGCGGCTGTGGATAATGTATTTGCTGCCTGTGGTCGGGCAAATACTTTAAACGAAAGGTACAACTTTCCTGCTCTCGTTGCCGCCTAAATATATCCGAAAGATACAAGATACATTAGCAATTGAGTTGGTTCGAAAATAAATAAAAGATGCTGGGACCAAGTTGAGCTGAAATGAGGGGCAAACTAGCACGCAATATTACACAATGTCAAGTGTGCGACAATAATGAGATAAAAGTAATATACGATTCAATTATGATACACCCTCAACAACATTGCTTATCACGTAAATGATGTACACCCAATTTCATATGCAAATATGCAATCAGACATTTCAAAAGTTCACAGACATTTCAAATGCCTTCCGACATTCATTAACAATTTGCTGAGATAGTGTCAAATTCGCAGCCACAAATCAATCGAATAACGCCCAATTTCCTTGACCATAAATAAAAATTCATTGCTATCAATAAGATAGTTTGTCCATTTATTGCGTCATCTTACATTTGGGCACACGGGGAGTGTTCCCGTGCAAGCCAAAAAATTAGATCCTTTCGCTTTAAATTATGGCCCTGATTACGCAATTCGCAGACATAAACCATAAAGCGAATTATGTTCATTCAAAATGCTGACAGCATTATCGATTAGCATTTAGAGCGCCCACCTGTACTCCGTTTACAATCTGTAGTAAAGCCGATAAGAATGGGTTCTCCATGCCAACAGAGCAACAGAGGACTTGATTTCATTCACACTAACTCATACCCCTCATGCCGCATGCCCATTTCCATGACAACGCAATGCGGAAATTTCTCGCAGTGCACTTAGGATTGCACTTATCATTGCCAGTGGCAGGTCAAACTAACTCGCAGGGGAAGTGCCGATCGAAGAGATGAATGTGAAGCGTGCCAGCTGCAAATGCTTTTATGGTCGGGCATGCTGCACTCGGGAATGCCCTACACACACATTGAGCGCAGTATGCTAGAAATACTTGGAAAAAAGTGTTTTTTATTACTTTCCAGTATACCTATACAAATTTTCAAATATTTACCAATTCCGGTTAAACTCAATGAAAGTATATAAACCTTTATGGTATAGGTACAATATCTAAAAAGTCTCGTCTTAAGTGATTGAAATTTAGGTAGTTAATGGAGAGAACACAATTCTTAACGATACGTGGACATATTCTCTAACCTGAATCACTTATTTTCTAAATGCGTCAGCAGAGCACGTTTTGCCAAGAATAGCAGTTTAAGCAATTATATCGGTCGATGTTCGCTGAAACCAGATTGGAATGTATTTTAAATTAACTGACTGAATCCAGATTTGTTTACATATAACAATTAAGTTCATATAATCATTCGTCATTTAAGGTGACTTGGGAATTTTTATAAATTCCAATTAAATTATAGAGAAAATGCTAGTGCTTACATATTCATAATAAGATATTTAGGCTATAAAATGTTCAATAAACAAAAATCATATTAGCTCTATATAGGGAGATGAATTAGTTGTAAATGTTCTTTCACAGACACCCTTCATTGAAAACGGACATAAAAAGGTAACTCGGGAATCGGCAATGCCGCACCGAAAGGCAACAGACACGGGACAACAACAACTGGAAGGGCGGAAAGGACGAGCAGGGGGATGGGGTGCAGGACGGATGCACGGAGGAAGGGAGGATATTCGGAGCGCGGCTGCTGCAGCCGCAGAGGGAGACAGAGAGAGTTGGAGCGAGAGGGAGAGAGGGAGAGGCAGCGCCAGCTGAGGGTTGCAATATCCTGCTGCCGCCGTTGAGCCTGTGGCCTGTAGCCAGTATCCTGTTGCCCTCCCGCTTCAGCTGCCGCAACTCAAACAGCTGCAACAATTTTTTTGGTTGCCGATGGATTGTTGTTTTTAATTTCCTTGGCGCGGCACATCCCCTAATGCCACTATCTCTGGGCCCTGCCACATTTTGGGGTTGGAGTTGCCAGTTGGTCGCCAGGGTGCAGTTGGTCGCAGCTCAGTCGTGGCGATCGCCAGGTGAACGAAGGTTGTGTCGCGCAGGAGCGAGTTGGAATACCCAAACGATTGCAGCTAAAATCTAGGAGCTCATCCACTTACCATGTCGGGCAAACTGATCATGAAGCGCAAGCGAGCCAGTCAGGAGGAGCAGCAGCATCAGCAGCAGGCACAGGAGCAACGTGTCCAGCCGCAGGAGCAGCAACAAGAGCAGCAGCCCAACGAAGCTGCTCCGGAGAAACGCCATCGTCCTTTAACTCCACCAGCAGAAGAGCCAGGACAGGACTGCCCATCCCCGCCAGATGCCCCCAATCGCATCCTCTTGGAAGCGCTGCAAAAGATAATGGAGCTGCAGGCGGAACTGGATGCCTTTGAGCAGGATCTGGACGATCGAGCTGGTTATGCGGGTGCAGAAGCTGAAGCTGAAGCTGAGGATAACGAGGAAAGTGAAGAGGACGCCGAGGTAGCGGCCCAGTTTGCGCCACCGACGCCAGCCCAAAGGAGTCAGGCGGAGGCACTGGGCTTCGCCATGTGCGCCAGGGAAACGCTGCTGTTCCTCCAGAGTGAGGGAGTGCCCACGGAGTCGCCACTCTACCAGACGCTCCTCGGGAAATTGGTTGGGCAAAGCGATGGACTGCTGCACGCCTAAGGGCAAATTGGAGGGCAGGATCTCCTCCTCATTCTAGTCACTTTGCTGCGATCTCATTGCAAGTAAAACGAGAGAGAAACCAAGGGTTGCGAACTTTCTGGGGGTGGAAATTATGCAACATCGGGATCTGGGTATTCCTAAGCTATTTACTCTAGTCAATTATTGTAAAGCAATATAAAACACATAAGCAACAACGAATAAATTATATGGAAACTAAAAACACAAAGGAAGAAGTTTTACTTGAGGTTGGCCCAATTATGCGGGAATAAAAACACTATACTGCTTCGATTTTCGATACATTTTAAATATATTTATTTGTTTATTCATTTAGTTATTACTTGTGTTATTTAATTTTACATATAATAATTAATGAGAATAACTCAATCGCCATATATTAGTTCTTTGAATTCATTTTGTAGGTATGTATATCATATAAGTGTATATATTCTTATTGTTGTTAGGGCGGGGTGTTTTTGTTGTTCGGTTATTTCATTAACTTGGTATCATAAATTATCTGGGGCTTGGAATCGCCCTAAAGTAGCATTTGTTATAATTTCATATTAGTTATCTGTATAATTTGTAACAACGATAATTATTTGTAATAAATGGTTGTAATTCCTTTGTATTATCTGTATTACTGATATTTCTTTAAAACTAGATTTTAATTGTTTTCAACAATTCAACGTTTCACATGGTTGTAAGTAAATGTTTCTTAAGGTTTTTGGACAAGATATCGTTTTATTCTTATTCGAGTATATGATTATTTCATTGCGTTAGCAACCTCAACTTTATTCGCTCGATTCTCAAATTAGGTTACATATAAAAAATGATAATATCTATGAATTGGCATTTCAATTGGTAATTTCAGACCTGGAAGGGATCCGTCCACTCAGATCCCGATCCCCTTCCTACAAACATTTGGCACACTCTCTTGGTTCTACTTAAGCTCTACTGAGAATTCTCATTAATCTAAAAACTAACTAAAGTAAGAAAACAGAAAACGAAATTTTGAGCTTGGCAACGGATCAAATTGTTGATTACGAGTTATAGTTAGTTTACTTTTGTTAGTTCAGTGCATAATTAATGGAGACATCTGGACAAGGCAGACGACTCATTGTTGAACAATTGTGGAAACGAAAAGTTAGGTAAACTACTTTGCTTTGTCCGGTGTCATGGGTTAAATGGGTTAAGTACATTGAATTACATTGTTTTTACTTTAATTTAATGTTGAGTTACATTGTTGGTTTAGTTAGAACTTTATATTCGTGTATAAGTAAATGGAGTATTTGTTATTCCTATGTTTGCGTTTAAGTATTCCTTTTACTCTGTTATTGTTTTCGTATCTGGTGTTTTAATAAAGTAATCATTTGCAGCAGTATCCACTAATGGACATTGATTCACAATAAACTTGTATATATTTTGTAATTTGTTAGTTATTTGTAGATCTTTAGTATTCGATATTTTAATTCTGAATGCTCGAGTATTAGATAATTTTTGTTAGGGTTAATCTGTTACTTTTGTTGTCAACATGGGGTTAGTCGATCTCTGTTAATTATGTAAATATTAGAATTTGTAAGTGTATATATATATATATTCTTTATCTGTATCGTTAGTTATGTTAAATATATGTATATATAAATAAAATTATGGTTTAAATGTGCCCTTTGTATTTATTATTATATTCTATTAAGTTAATTAATCTCATAGATTTTGTATCTACCGACCGTCAGTCGGGTCCTTCTTTCCCTATACATAGCTTTGTCTTGCTGTATCAACTGGATTCGATCTGTAACTGTAAGCCAGACTATCCCAGCTCAACTTTGAGCTGAGCCGTGTGCTTAACTACTGATTACACCCACCGATTACAGCTCCCACTAATCATTCAGGCTCTTTAGTATCTTTAAGATGGTTTGTAAATAGAGATAAAAAACTGGACACAGTTTCGTCTGTGTTTTATAGCCAACGCGAAAGTAAGGTTTTCGATTTGTTGATCCAGCCTCATCATCATTAAATGTTAATCCTTGCACGCAAAAATATATGTATAAATATATTTGTTATGTATATGTTTTGTATGTGGTATATATCGTAAAGTTCATTTTGTCCATTTTGTAAATACTCCTCCTCCTACGCCTTCCTCTAATCTCATGAACTCAAGTGTACAAAGTTTCTGTGATGTTGATGTGATTTTCGATTTGCTTGTTCTGGTTGTAGTTCTTGTATCTGTTGGGTTCAGAAAAACTGCACGGGCAAGTACGGAAATGTGCCAATATGTAGCGAAGGATTAGCAGGTCTGTAAGAGAATGGTAATTTGGATTTAGAGAGATGTTCTTGTCTTTGGCTTGCGGTGTATGATCGAGAGGGTTTTTCGCGTTTTTGGATCAATGCAAATCAATACTGGAACTTCGACTGATAAGCGGAGAGGTATTTGTAAGCAGCAATCAAGCGGATTAACATAAGGCCCGAGTATTCATTTGCATTGCCCAAAGACATCGATTTAGTGTGGATTTAGTGTGTGCAAGGACGAAGGAGTTCTCTTCTGCGTTCGTTAATATCGCATTTCAATACCTTACTAAGAGCATATTGGGCACTGAAGCGGTTGTGGTGGTGTTGTTGCTGTGGTTTTTACTGCCTAATGTGTGATTGTTGATATTGTTGCTATTGGCACTCTTTTGGCCATCCATTGGACCAAGTCGATAGGAGGATATAAATGAAACGTCGTTGGAGTTTTTGTCACCGACTGGGTGAAAGTTGCTATTGCAATTATTGTGGCTACTGGTGTTATTGATATTGCTGACGCGGCTGCTATTGCTGCTGTTGTTGTGGCCTGATAGCTGCGGTGGGAGATTTGGGTGCGACTGTTGAAGTTGTTGCTGATTTACCTGGAAGATAGAGGGGATTATTTTTATGTATCAGCCGGTTTATCAGTCGGTACTCACCTTGGAACTGCCGTTGGAATTGTAGTAGTAGTTGGGATTTATGTTCTTGCCGTTTTGGCACTCACTTGCTCCGTGATTTGGCAAAAAGTTGTTGCTGCTATTGGGTTGGGATTTCATGGTCAAATTCTGGGTGGATGCCGCTGGGTTTGTAGCTCGACCACCGCTGGCACTGCTAGGGTCCAGCAAATTTCACCTGTTAACATGGCTGCGATTGTGATTGGAACTGAGAACAGTGCCGCCGATGGCATTTGATTGAGAAGCGCCACCGGAGCCGAGACCTACCCCTCCGCCGCCGCCAGCTGGAAAGATGTCTTAGAATATAACATACTTTCTGCTGAGGTAAGCGTTCCGTAACTTACCCGAATATCCGGGCGAGTGCTGATAGTATTCTCGTCTCCCATAATCCGGCTCGTAATCTGAGCTTTCGTAGTGGCCCCCCCGGCCTCCGCCACCGCTGATGCCGCCCACCCCGCCTAGAATGTTAGCTGGCGGTCCATGGGGTCCATGTCCATGAGTGCCATAGGAGTAGCTATCGTACGACTGGTGCGGATCATAACCAAGGCCGTCGTCATAGCCCCGACTGCAAAATATAGTTAGTCAGTAAGAATCCTTGATAAAATCTATATTTAAGGGCCATACCCATAGGTTTCGTCCATGGCCGTCCTGGCTTTTTCCAATATGGACATCACTTTCTGCTTCGGAGCCAGCACATTTTTGCTAAAAGATGACTGCTGTGAGCCCCTGAAATAGGTTAACGAAAGATACAAATAAATTAGGCAAGTTTTTCACATTATCACTAGAAAAAAATCATTCACCTATAACTGTGATGTGGGGTGTTCTTAACCCCTCCAATCGGGTTCATTGAGCCGCCACCCATAGCATTGTTACCTCCCTGCATGTGAGACGTCTTCTTATAGCCACTTTTGGCATTATCGTTGTCATTTAGGCTAGTGCTGTCCATCAACTCGCGCAGCTGCTCCTGCCGGATGATGTCGTTACTGTCTGGAATCAAATACTTTCTCAGCTCGGCCATGGCGTAGGCGATTCGGGCGTAGGCTTCGGCGGGCGGCGCTATTGTCGATATCTCCACGTGCAGGTCACTGTTGAGGTGAGCGTACTTGGGATCCTTGGAGCTGCGGAGTTCCTCTTCTTTGACTCGATCGCGCATGGAGTTGCGGCCCAGGACGGTCATCTTGCAAAGGGTCTCCTCCTGAAGGCGGCGAAGGGAGTTCCCCTTGGGTCCCAGCAGTTTGCCCACGAAGTTGAACTGAATAATATAAATTTACCGGTTATGAAATGCGCCTGTCATAAAACTTGAACTCAATTTGAATTGGTTACAATTACTAGACAAGCTAATCAGCGTGAAATTTACCTTGGGATGTTCTCTAATGGGAACTAAAACGCGTTGTGAGATCCGCAGCGGCTTCTCTCTATAGATATCGGCATATTTTTGCTCTCTGGAAGGGATCCTTCCTGTTGTCTGGACCTTTTCAATCTCTAAAATAAGACCAGATTCATCAGATCATGCTTGGAATTCATAACAATAACTTTGCCTACCGCCCTCCAGCAGTTTCTCGGCAATGGGAAACTTCCTGTCCATGCGATTTCGTTCCGCCATACAGTCGCGTATATACTCATTGGCTTTCTCGTTTATCTGGACACTGCCGCCGGGATCTCCGCCATGATGACCGTGATCGTGGACGGAAGCGTCACCATTGTGGGCGCCACCTGGTGCTCCTATGGAACCACCAGGCTTGCGAGGCTTGCCGCCAAAGTCGTTGTCATCGTCGTTAAAGGCGGAAAAGTCACCGTTGCCATCGTACTTCTCGGTCATGATTTTTTCGCCCGTTTCCCCGGAGCTGCGGTCTAAAGAAACTAATGATACTGATGACAATGATAGGATATTTTTTAATTTTCTATTTTGTAAGTATATAATTTTTTAAGGATATACACTTTTTAGCATACTGTAACAAAAGGATTTGCCAGGACTCAAGCATAGAAATTAGGTTTATAAGGTCTTAGGTCTTAAGATCTCTATGAAGAAACCTTGGTTCCCCTTCATAAAAAAGTTTTCATCATTTTTGTAAACTATCCGAGTTTCCAGTGGATGAGTTTTCAAGGATGTTCAATATGCAATTTTATTGTTACTGGCGAAAATGTAATTATTTATGGAAATCAATTAGGCGGCTAACCACTAACAACGCTTTTACCAACACATTCACACAGTGACACTTACACACACTTGCACACAAACATACACACACACGGTCACAGGCATCGGGCAAAAACAACCACCGTGCAAAATTGAGCGAATGGGAAAATCAAATTGTTGCCGTAGTTCCGCACACAAAAGCTTTGGGTTGGCAAAACCGGTAAACACGATATTATCCTTCCAGATTCAGGACTAACAAAATAGCGCCTGATTTCGGGCAGTTTTCCACTGCGACTGCTGGGAGTCCAACTGGTGCCCCCGCACGCGTCTCGCGGCCCATGCTGCACTTTCACTTTTCAGTGGGACGCAGTTTTTCACCTATTTTTTTTCTGTATTTGCAAATTGCATCGAGCGCTTTCTGTTGCTTTCCGATGCTTTTCTGCAACTGGATTTTCCTATGCTTTCCCAACCCACAAACACTTTCCAAGTGTGGCGTTAGCTTAAAAAGTTAATTACCACTGTTAAATGGCCCTTTCGATTATTGCTCTTAATTTAAAAGGTTGCGAAAAAACTGCAATTGAATTCGCGAAAAAAAACAATTCTACAAGTGTGACCGCGCGTCGAAAGCTCAGAAAAGCTCATTGCCCGAAAATACCATTGTCTTTGGCGGGCAGTACAGTAAGCACTGGAAAATCGCGACCTTTTCGTTTCAGTTGACCTAATTATGGAAAGATAGCTTTTGTTAAATATTTTAATTGTTTCAAGCTCATTTCGTTGAATGGTTTTATTTAATTTATTTATATATAGCATCCAAAATTAAACTTACAAAATCATCAGTGATTGCATTTAAAAATAAAATTAAAGAAGGGCTATAAAATAGTACCGTTTCATTTTTTAATATTTATACAATATTTATATATTTTCTTTTAGCGTATTAATCTTTAGTAATTAAAAAATGTATTTGAAATTATAAACCCAATAAGAACGAAGAGGTTGCATTAAGCTGATAAGAAACATGCCTACAATCAAAATCCTCAATGATTGCATTTCAAATTAAAATTAAAGAATGGCTATATAACAGAACCGTTTCATTTTTTAATATTTATACAATATTTATATATTTTATTTTAGCTTATTAATCTTTAGTAATTAGAAATGTATTTGAAATTATAAACCCAATAAGAACTAAGCTGATAAGAAACATGCCTATCGATAAGTGCAGCATATCGATATAACCTCGGTATACTTTTGTCTATTTCAGTATTTTTGCCTAAGCCACCGCTCCTAGGAAAGCCAACTGGCGAACACAAAGGATCTATTAAAGTGATACCTACATATATTAGATGTTCTAGCCTTGAGCATTTCCGCGAAATGTCCGCCGTGAGCCCCAACTCTTGTGTGGAGACGCCCAAGGCGCCGGAATGGCTATCGAAGCTGGAGAGTCGTCGGGAGCAACTGAAGCGCTCCAAGCTGGGTCACGAAGCCGGAGCTGGAGCTCCGTGTGCCGAGTGCAAGGACAAATGTCCGGGGCTGGATCTGCACTTCTGGCGCAAGGTGTGCCGGAACTGCAAGTGCCCCAAGATTCAGCATGTGTGTCCGGACGACGATGACGCCACTGGTTGGGCGCAGTTCGAGATTCTTGGCCAGATCAGGGCGAAACCAGCGTGTAAGTGAATCAGAAACATATGTATAACATATGGAGGTGACAAGGGAAAACATAACACATACTGTTGCAGATATCAAAATCAAAGCCCTGGCCAGTCAACCCGTGCAGCTGGAGTGGGTGCCGCCTAATGCCGCTCCGGATGTGGTCACTGATTATATGGAAAAACTGGGCACCGCCCAAATACCTGTGGCTGGAAGCGATGCCGCCCTCAAGCGGAAAATGCAACTCGAGCTGCAAGTTCCACCTCACGACCTCGATGCCGCACTGTGCGATGGATTAACGGAAACTGAGGCCATCCAGCTGCAGCAATACGTTCAGAAATTGAGGGAGCAGTGCGTCGGACAGGGCGTAGTTGTGCGCCTGGGAGACCGTCTTAATCACGCCCAAGTGGAGCACGTAGCTCCCACTTTGATGCCTTCCCAGGAGGCGGAAAAGACCTGGAAATCTATGGGGCTCCTGCCAGTTGCTGATGACACTCTAAACGAACTGCTTGCTAATCCCAAGGTGGCCCAGGCGTTGGCAAGCCCAGCGAGTGCCCATCCCAAACTACTGGTTGCTTTTTCAGAGCCTCTATGCGAATCGACAGCCCAGTTCGAGGAAAATGGAGCTTTGCAAGCCCAGACTAGAGAAAAGCTTTTGGGAATTAGCAAGCCGGCTCTGCTCAGCCTTGTGACTCATGGTGTTGTGTATGACAAGGTTCTGGGAATATTACAGGTAATTAAATTGACAAAATCGTTGAGAAGGCCATCAAAAAGGTAATCTATTTGTGTACTTCAGGAAAAGAAGCTGAACATCTCGAGGGATCCAAAGCTTGGCCCCATTGCTGAATTTCGAAAGGAGTATGTGAACAATCCGCAGTTCAGAGCCGACATCAACACCATCTGTCCTCAGCCGCCCATGACGCCCATAAAATCATCTCCTGGTACACCTTTTAATTCTCCATTGCCGTTGAAAAACCCAGTGCAGATCAGAATGGGAGCTCAGATGCGCCAGGATACGCCTATGCGAAGGGTAAAGTTTGGCGGGGTCTCCACCATAGTTTACGACTGCGGACTGCCTGCCAACACGGACTACGATCGTGATCCTGTCTTTGCGCAAATACTTCATGCGGAGCCGCTTAAACATGCATTCCAGGAAGCGCGTGCTGGACGTGCTCCCTCCTCGGTGGTTATCTCCAACATCCCAGCTCCAGTGGCAAGTCTGGCGGAGCTTAGAGGTCTCAACCCAGCCACGAGGGCTCAACTTCAATCCGTGGGGCTTGATAAGAACATGCTGCAGTCCGCTGTTTCCAACGCACCTTATTATGACCGCCTGTTCCGTTCGCTTCAGGACAAGGGCATCTCACATGACCAATGCCAGTTGCTGCAGCCAATGAAACAAGTGCATGACTGGCTGCTCGATGACGATCAGTTGCTGGACGAGATCGACAAGGTCTTTGCCGATATGGCTAATGGCTGCAAGGATATTTCCTACCCGAAACCCAGTCTTGGCGAACTGCCCACATCGCAAAGCAGTGATTCTGGCTTCCACTCAAAGCCACCCACACCGGGCTACGGCAGCGAGGATCTTACCGCTGGGCAGGGCAGATTCGCCAGCATTCCTGGCATTGAGGACATGAACATGTACCCAAGTTGCGCCGGCATGCCGGAACAGTTCCAGCAGCTACGTCTTCGCGGGGATGAAGCTTCAGGCAAGGGTGATTGCTCCCACTCTTACTTCTTGAATAATGAAAATAATTAAATCTTTCCAATCATTGCAGACACTCATCGTACAATTTTGTGCGCCGACTGCAGCCAACCGATCGCCATGGGCGAAGTTGTAGTTAAGGCAGATCGAGCAGGAAAGGAGATAGCCTGGCATCCCGGCTGTTTTAAGTGCATCACATGCCGGGAGCTCTTGGCCGACTTGGTCTACTTTTTCCACCAAGGACAAGTTTTTTGCGGTCGCGATTTGGCCATCAGGCTGAAGATTCCGCGGTGCCGTGCCTGTGATGAGCTGATCTTTACCAAGGAGTACACAGCCGCGGAGGAAGCAACGTTCCACATCAAGCACTTCTGCTGCTATCAGTGCGATGAGCCGCTGGCCGGTCAGCAGTATATAGCGGATGAGAAGTCCAACATGCCCCTCTGCCTGCTGTGCTATGACCGCTTATTTGCCGTCCGCTGCCAGCGATGCAAAATTGCGATTGGACCCGCAGATCAGGGCGTCGCTTGGGGCGATGTCCACTGGCATGCCAGTTGCTTTGTTTGTGCTGGAGCCCAGTGCTCCAAGCCGCTTATAGGTGGACGTTTCTGCGTCAAGGAGAACATGCCCTTTTGCAGTCCGACCTGTGTGCGTAGCTTGATTAAGTAAGGCGGGCAATCAACCACAACAGTATTTTCACATTTCCATACACAAAGGATGATCAAAGACATAATCATCGGATTTTTGATGGTGCACTATTTACAATATTTAATAACTAGCTAGTGATCAATAGATGCCACAGACTCAAAGTGCCTAGAATAGACTTGAATTTAAAACGCCAATCAAACTAGAACCACGGATTCCGATTTTGTTAGCATTCATTTATTTTATAAAACACCTTACGTGTCTCAAGATTTTATAGACCCCATTCACCAAACTTAAAAAGGCAAATACGAATTTGGGATCTTTTAAGTGTGCAACCGATAAATTTGATTGGCTTTTAAAATAAAACCGACGCCTAAATATTTACAATTCCAACCGCCTTTGCAGTGCCAATAGACCAAGTAGAGTATATAGAAATATTTTATATATAATATACACAGATCTATTTACGTATTGAAAAGTATTATGTATACAGGAAACGCACAATTTTAAATAAAGCTTTTACTCGAAACAAAATGTAAATTAAATTCTGGGGAAACGAATTGACTAGGCCCACCACCAATGAAATGAAGGCTTGCTTTTCGATTTTTTACGTATCTGCTGGTAGTTTTTATTGGTAATTGCATTTTTTTCGGGTTTTTTTTTATTATTTATTAATCATAATAATTCCATTTTTGTTGATTTTTCTTGTTCTTGCTCGTATATGTATATGCATGTATAAAGTTGCCGATTCCTCGGATCGAGCCATTATGCAGAAGCGAAAACAAGGGGTTAAATCACATTCACATAACTGCCAAATTTGTTTTGAGAGAGGTTGTCCTGCATAATGCATTTAGTGGCATTTATTTCAAGTATTCCTCCATAGTGGCTCAAGTATTCTACAGATTAGTTGCTTGCACTTGCGAAGTGCAATGCCGTTTCTTCAGTTCAATTGTATTGCTAAGTATTGGGTGCGTACGTATAAACCACAGTATGGCGTACTAAGAATTTGTCTGGTTCAGAGTCGTGTTCCCCCAATGGAGCTCCCAGGAAGCTGCCATGGGTGGTAGTCAAGGAAGTTAGTGTCGCTAGGAGACTTGTTCGTGGGCTCTGAGCTCCAATGCCTTGGGGAGGACTCAGTTGGGGGACTGGAGGGTTCGGGATTAGGGGAGTGTTGAGTTTCAGCATGTTATCATCGAACTATAGTTCTCTTTGCTCTGGTTAGTTGTTTTGATCTTACATTAACACTAAGTTGCATTTGCTCTTCGATTTGTTATTAGTTCTCTCTCGTTTAATATGTATTAATTACATTGATAATTAGTTTAATTGTAAGTTCTGTTCTTCGTAAACAATTTTACATGATAGGATTCTTCTTCTGAGTGTTCATGCGTGGTGTGTCTGTAAAGATTTACGTGTGTGAGTTCTCCGTAATTTGCTACAACAAAAACTATGCCTTAAAATAATACTTCAGTTACAATTTATTTTGTTTGCTTCCTCTGCTCGCTTGGCATTTCAATTTTGTTCCTCTACCCGCTGGCACAACTAAAAACAATCAACAAAAGGGGTGTTAAGTTCAAATAAACTTGTTTGTAACTAATATATTTGTTATATTCTTAATAGAGTGGGACGTGGGGGTAAAAAGGAAAACGACAACTTAAATTAAGGCTTACGAATAACGAGGGTTTCGGGGGAGAAGGGGCTGCTTTTAGGGCAATTGGGAATAGGGGCGGGATAAAAACACTAATTACAAAGCGATATGGCAACACTTAACGAGTGTTCTGCCCACAATCTGATGCTTTCTGCTTCTCATAATTGTTTAGATAACTAAAAAACTGTATAACTTATAACCAAAGTCGGTGCGTCCGTCTGTCCGGCCAATCGTCTGTCTTTCTCGCTTTCAGTCCGTCGGTCTCCAAGCAGTCCCGTCAGCTCCTTTGCACACATCTTAAAGCTATACACAAAAAGTTAAGTTAAATTGTATATAAAGATTTCCTTCATTTGCTCTCCGGCTTCTGACAGACGCCGAGGAGCGCCTACTCCTCGGATCAGGTTGTGGAACACGATCACTGTCCACCTGCACGACCGCCAAAGCGGTCAATTGCCCTGAGCCCTGTCCACACCCTGGTTGCTCTGGACGCCGGTGTCAACAATTCGTGTAGACGCCCTGTGTGTAATAGAGCTCCGTGATTCGTTCCGGAAGCGTGCTGTACAGGTTGGTGATCAGGTCGAGTGGCAGGCGGGACCACGCCTCCTTGATGCGGAATATCAAGTCGTCCTTGCGCGAAAACTTTCGTCCACCGTCGAACACCTCGCGTATGAGCCAGCCCCACACGTTCTCCATGATGTTCAAATCGTGGGCAATGGTGGGCCACTTCTGGGTCTTGAGGCCTTCGGCATTCAGAAGATCCTGGGCGGTGGGCAGGGCGTGCGACATCCAATTGTGATCTTGCAGCACAAACTCCGAGTTACCGCCCAATTTGGTTACAATATTGGGCCGCTCCCGCATGATGGCCTCGATGCAAGATTCTGGTCGCTGTTTGGCGGATGACACCTCCAGAAGCACGGCTCCTCCCACACAGACCATCAGGTAAATGTACACAGAGTTTCCTCGCGGCCGCTGCGACAGCGTTCGCTCGTAGTTGCGCAAATCGTGGAAATAGTATGAGAAGCCATCTGGTCCATCCAGATTGAACCTACGCTCGTCGTGGAACACCACCCGCCGCCAGTGCTCTTCGCTCCACACGATATATGTGTTGGCAAAATTAAGGCGCTCCGTTTGATTGTACTGTGACAGTATTGGTTCCGTCTTCAGCTTTTTGGCGCAGTTCGCTGAACTGCTGGCGCTAGAGGAGCTGCTGGACGAAGAGCTCGACGACGCGGATGAGGACGAAGAGGACGACGAGGCGGAGGAGCTCGGAGCTGTGGTGGCGGCCGATGCCCGTAGAAGAGCATTGGCCGCGGCTGCAATATTGCTGCTGCTAGGTGTCCCAACGGCCGCCACCCTCGACACAATGGTGGGTGATACGCTGGATCCATTCGATTGCTGGGTGGGCGCATGGCTGGAGGCAGTGCCGCCCGTACTGGAACTGGCCGCCGAGAAGTTAGAGTTCTGATTGAGGGCGTGAACGGGCAGGTGCGACTGCGGCTGACTTTTCAGAGGCTGTGGTTGCGGTGGCGGTGCCTGCTGTGGCTGCTGCTGGTAGTATGGATGGTGGTGGTAGCTGATGTGCTGCTGGTGCTGGTGGATTGTCGGCTGCTTGAGTTGCAGCTGTTTAAGCTGCGTCTGTGACTGGGCCAACAACTGTTGCTGATGCTGCTGGTGGTGTTGCTGTTGTTGCTGATGCTGATGCTGCTGCGGATGTTGCTGCTGTGGGATGGGCATCTGCTGGATACCGGGATGCTTCAGGTAGTAGTGCAGCGCCATTAGATTGTTGGCACTGTTGGCTGTGCTGGTGGGCACGGAAACGGGCACTACGCCCGGATTGATCGATCCGCCGACTCCGCCGCTCTGAAGCAGCTGCACTGTAGTGCCAGCCGGCGGACCATGGACCGCTGCTGCTGCCGCCGCCGCTGCTCCAATTGCACCAGCACTGGCGGCCAGCTGGGCGGCCGACTTTGGGTCATAGATGAACTTGTTGAAGTTCTGCAGGTCCTCCGGACTAAGCACTAACGTTTTCATTTGGATTCGGCTTGGATCGGGTGCTTAAGGTTTAAGTCTGGTTTCCGTTTTAGCTGCTGCCGCTGGCTCAGCTGCTCATGGGCTTGGGTTGGAAACCCTTCAAGCTGCTCTGGCCTAAATGCAAGTCCGGATCTGCGGGTATCTGTATATTTCTGTTACTTTTGAACTTTTTCGGGGGCTACGTACAAACGATCACGCTCACGCACTTTCGGCTGTCTCGATTTCCAAATTCGTTGCGCGTTCGACTTGGCAACCTGTTCCTCTCTCTTATTCTCCACTTCTCTGTGCTGAGCTGAGCTGAGCTGAACTGAGCTGCTCCCTTCTCTCTGGCTTATCAAAGGGCTGACCGATCGACGCGGCTCGGCTCTCCGACTTCTTCTGATTGCAAAACTCTCGGCGGTCGTAAAAAGATGTCGGTTTACTTTCCCACCGTCGGGCACGTTCAGTGTGGATGTGTGTGTGTATGTTGCTGGGCAGGAGTGTGTGTGTGTGTGTATGTGTGTGCGATGCGAGTGGAGCACTTCCAGTATGTTATCCTCTTTTGTTGAAGTGGTTTTTCTTGTCGCTGGTGGTGCTCTGGTGCAGTTGCTCCGCTGGCGTGCAAATGTTTCCTTGTTTCTTTATTCTTTCGCTGCTTTGGCTCTTAGGTATTCCGCAGTCGTGGACGTCGATTTACCTGGAATAAAATAAAAAGCAGGTATGTGAAAAAGAGTCTTGTTTCACACTTCGCACTGCATGTGTGTATGTATGTATGTGAGTGCCTGTGTCTGTGCCAGTTGTATATATCTTTCAAGCGATATGTACAATGCACTCATGTATTTAATATTTTCTTCGACTGGTGAAATCAACAACCAGCACACGCAGTATATTTTGGAACAGATGTTCGTTGAGCTCGGATTTCAGGTCCCTTTTTCTTTTACCCCTAGCCGCCTTTCGTACAAAATAAAGAACAAAAAATAACCGAAATGGGAGCACTCACGCAGGCACAGGCACACATGTGCAGTTTTGTTTTTGGCATTTTGGAAATCTTCGGCTTCGGCCTCAGCTTCAGCCGCAGAATTTGCAATTTTCGGTCTCTGCCAGCAGGTCTTTTCCGGTACCTCTATAGTACATTCTTTTGTGTGCTCCTTTTCGAGCGAAAACACAGCGAAAACAAGTGGTTGAAGGGTCAAAAGTGCAGCGGCTGAAAAGGAGAAGCGAGATAAAGATGCCAAATACAGATGGCAGGTGTTGCAAATCCTGCAGAGAATTGTTTAGCGATTGGCAATCCAAAAATAGGTTTCCCCCTGGTATTGCTGTTTTCTTTTATTTTGTTGTGTACCCTCGCTCAGGGTATTATAGTTTTCACATCAGACTTCCAGACTTCAGACTTGGAGAACTTTGAAGAGTCTTGGTTCCATTAGCATAATTAAATTTATATGTTCAAACAGTTTTTAGAAGCTCATTCGACATATTAAGAACTATAAACAGTGTCAGGGTATTAAGACTTCGGTTTAAAGTTATTTTTGTTTTTGTTTTGTTCGAACCACAAAGCGATAAGGCTGCGACTCCATCCCATACTATATTATTAGCTTTGTGGTAGCACCACGGGTACGTGTATGTATTTGCCGTGTTATCATCTGACTCTGGGCTATGACGGCTCCTATGCCGACACGCGCACCCAGCACATGCCCCATTCATAATCCCCGCACACTCCCGGCACTGTCCAGAAATCCCACCATGTAACACACCTATATCTAATCGCGCATATAAATTTCACTCCCAGGGAATAGATTTTTCCCCACTCTGAGCAAACAGCGACTTTAATACGCATGTTTTCCACTGTTTCCCTTCGCCTGGTCTGTAATGAAATTAAAACTAAATTCTGCTCGCCACGGGGATGAAAATCGAGTTTTCGATTCGCCTAAGGGAAGAAAGCTGCTGCCTTCTGCCCGCATACATATATGTCTATATCTGCCTGTGTGTGTGTGTGTGTGTGTGTGTGCGGGGTGGCTGTGTCAACCGAAGGACTACTGTGTGTACTTTTGTGTAGCTAGCTGCTGCAGCAAACTCGGTCGCCTTCCGATCGAAATTACTGCAGCTGTGCGCCTCTCGAAACTGCTGACTAGCTGGGGCAAAAGTTTCTCGGGGCCTGGTCAGCGGGTCGAAAGTTCAACGGCAGAAGTCCTTCGACGCGGTGCTGTCAGGCCGAACAGCTTTTGCCAAGATGCAGAGAGATGGCTCGCCAATGAGCAGCCAATATGGCAGGAATCCGCCCAAGAAATGACTGCTAAACTAGGATATGGAAGTCGATCCTTTATGAATAAGTACTGCTTTGTCACACCTAAAACGCGAATTCTTCAGTGCGAAGCAGAGCAGATGAGAAAATTGCCAGTTGACTTCAAACTGCTGCTGCTGCGTTTCAAGAACCGGCCTGCAGTACCCTTATCTGGATAGGAAGAGGTAAAAACGTGCCAAAATGTTCAGTTCATAGACTAAATTACAATCGAGACCACCTATTAAAATGAATTCATTTGAATCTTTACAAAGTTTATTACAATGTATTGATGGAACGTAGAACAGCATGTGTGCGTGAAATGAAGCTGCCAACTGAAATTTAAGATCAAGCCAATCAAATTGTTTGATCAACTGTTTTGCCAAGTTTTTCAATTATCATTATGTGGAAACGACTTTCTACGATTTGCGTAGAACAGCTGCGATCTTTGATCGTTCGCACAGCGTTTTCCACTCATTTTCCAAGCTGATTGCGCACTCGGCATTCTTTTGCGCAATTAGAGGGAAGTTGTGAGTTTAAAAGCTGCAGAGATAATAAGCGCCGGGCACTGATTGATAGTTCTGTGCTGCTCTGCGAATTCCCAACGCACATGATAAGACACGGCACATTGTACACTCAACAACGAATGGTTCGAGAACCTTTGTTTAGTGTTGTGTGAACTTTGGCCTTGCGTTCGGCCAAAAATACAAAAAAAAAATGATGGAAAGCAAAACAAAAAAAAAACTGGTTGTACTTGAAGGGGAAACTATAGATTCAAGCTTGAAACTATGCTGGTCGCCAGTTTTTCAAAGCCCTTGGAATGTTGGCAGGCCTAAAAGTATGTATTTCTCCTTTTTTTTTTTTAATCTAATCATTTGCCCTTGATAAGTTTCTGAATTCGGTCCGGGATCTTTCAAGTCGGCTGACTAATCAAGTTTTAAGGAATTGAGTCATGTTCAGGCAACTGTTTATACACACACAGAAAAAAAGCACATCGATATTTATGATTATATCAATTGAAAGTGGATAACACGAAACAACAGATGAAAGTCTTGACAACAATAAACAAATGTTCTTCCTAACTGGGCTTAAACATGGACATTAAAGTTGCTCAAAGCGGAAAACGTTGAAAAGCTATGCTAGCCCCTTGTGTAGTGTAGTCATGTACTTTTTTACTTGTGTTTATATCGGATTTTTATGCACAATGGCAATATTAATTGAAAAAAGCACAGCAAAGTTCAATAACTTCTACCAATCTTAGATTTGTTTCGACATTCAATTTCATATAAAGACAACATGGTATGCAATAAGAATGTATAGTATTCAACCAAATATTTATCTTAATCATAAAACTAATAGTAAGATGCGATATTTTTTTCTGTACACTAGTTCACGTTTTGGACGTTGAAACTTTGTTGTTAGGGTGATTCACTCGGTATATATGTTCCGTAATTTGTAATGATTTTCACTTGTTTTCATTGGCACGTTTGAGTCCTGTTTGGCGAGGTCACTTTCGTGGGTGATCACTGTGTTTATGAAGGCAAGTGCGGAGCCCTGCGTTGCGGGGGGCTGTAGCCGTCTCCCTCCCACCCGTTTGATGACTGCAGTTGCCCGTTTCCCGTTACGTTGCATTCAAGGAGTCACGCACACACACACATACACGCACGCAAAAAGAGAGCGAACGAGAGATGCATGTGGGAGAGGATGCAGATGATGCAGGGGAATAGACGGGCATATGGACATGTGTAAAATATCCAAAAATATAAAACGAACCCAGCGACCGACGACCGAAACGTCCGACGTAATAAAATCCCTTACGCGCTGCATGCAGCGACGCTGGCAGCGCAGCCACATGCTTCTTTCTATATTGAGCCAGCCAGCCCTTATGTGTATAACTCTCCGTTATGTACAACAACAACCAGTCCCATATATAAACACACGTACGTACATACAGACCCTGCTCTGTGTCCGCACGTATGCTTGTTTGTACGGTACGTGTGTGCGTGTCTGTGTGCGCGTCGTGTTTTTGTGATGCCATCGTCGATATTGAAAGTACATCTGTACATACATAGGTATGTATGTATGTACGTGTATGTACGAGCAGGCTATGTACCAACGTACGTTGAACGAGAATCGCGTTGGAAATGAAATTGCGAACAACGGAACGGTGCGATGACGATCCGATACGAGTGCTTCATTTTATTTAGTTAATTCTTAGCACATATGTATAGACAGATATACTATATACACTTGAGTTTGCCCGTGTGTGTGTGTATCGTTTTCATTTTCACGGAACAAATATGGCTGCACCACACAGTTTTTTTTTAAATTTAATTTTTTCACTTTTTTCACGCTTGTTTTTTCACCCAAAGTAATGCTGACTGGCCGATTGGGGTTTCGTGGATTTGGATTCCGTTTGCGTTGCGTTTGCTGACTGCCTTTTGGGTTTCGAAGTGCGTGATTACGCCATTTTCTTTAGTCGTTCGCTTTTCGCTGCACGCCCATCTTTCGAATTACCTTTTTTCAATACGATTCGATCGATCGGTGGATCTCTTAACTCGCTGCACACGCGTACACTGGGACAAAACGGTGGCTGAATGGGCTCTCCAATCAATTTATTGACTATTCCACGGGCGTTGAGGGGTTTTCTTTAAATGCAAGTACGCAAAACTCACGGGTTTTCACCAACACACGAATCCGTCTTGCTCGACTTTGCAGCAGTGTGACCGTGACAAGCGAAGGCGCTGGTCAAACATCGATAGTCGGGACCTACGAGCAATCGATGTTTTTTGATTCACCTTCGATAGATTCTGAGCCATTTTACAGAAAATGATTACCATAATTTTGTAAATTCTGTAATCTTTCCAAATATGTAAAAACCCATCTAATGTTGTTTATTGGTAGCTGAGCTCTCAATTTTAAAGGACCAATGTTATCCAACATAATATACTTTTAAGCATGCTTAAAAAATTAGCAAAGTACAAAATTAGAAAGCTAACAAGAAAATGTAGTATTAGTACATATCGTTCACTGCGATAGTATTCGATAAATGCGTCGGTAGCAGATTGAAGCTGAGACTTAACCACCTAGCCAAAACTTATCAAAATTTTTGCATTAAAAAAGAATATTATTATTACGTGTTAATATTTAAGGTGAAATAAAGTTATTTCTAAAGTTATTTGTTTCAAGGAAGGGATCCTACATCTGATACATAATTCAATTGTGTCTTAAAAATAAATAATGAATGCCCCTGCCAATAGTTATAGGTGACTAACAGCTGAAAACACCTGAAGTTTAGGAGCTCAAAATGTTTACGTGACGTCATTTTATGCATAAATAATTATACTGTATTAAGTAAAATTTCATTATATTATTATTTAACTTTCCTTTCATCCGCTGACAATTTGGATAGATTTTTTTAAATGTGCAGTTAATTCAGCAATTGGGACGACGCCCCAGGCCATTTAGTCGGTTGGGTTTTGGATGACAATCAGGATGAAGTCCTTGTCGGGCGCCACCATGATCTCGTGCTTTTTGGATCGCACTCGCAGGAATGTCATGTCGTTGGAGGGATCCAAGTCCCTCACCACACTTCGTGCCTTGTCCGCCAGCTGACTCATTAGTCCAGCATATTGAACGGTAGTAGTGTTGTCCAGCGTTGACTTGACCGGAATACCTAATTGGAAATTGGCGTTGCAAATTAGTTAGGTATCGCAGCACACATTGTATTGATGTTGAACCACCCACCTTCATTGTTGACCACAATTGTACCCACAACACCTTTGTGGCTCTGGATTCTCTTGAGTGTTTCCTCAACTTCCTGCGACTGTAAGCATAAAGAAACTTTAGTCGATTGATATTTTTGTGTATATACACCGCTTACTTACCATTTTGTTCTATAATTTTGTTGGAAACACGGCAGAAATCAGCGTTAACTCCGTTGAATAAAGAAGTAAACTTTGTTTGTTCAATATTAGAGATGGACTGCCAGTGATGGCACATAGCTTAATGTTAATTTAACAGACCATTAAGTTCCAGATAAGTTAACAGAAAAATATCGATATGAAGTTTTCGATTTGAATAATTTGGATGACAAAAGGTAACGGCAATTAAGGATATAAATGCGATTTAATAATTTAATAAGTATATAAGCTTAAACTGACTGTAAATAAGTAACTACAATTCAGAACTGTTTAACTTGACATATTGACCCATATAACCATATGACCCATATATATAACTACAATTCAGAACTGTTTAACTTGACATATTGACCCATATATGTAGCAACGTGCACCTTGGAAACCAAGAAAACAATGAAATCAGGTTAAATATAACAGTAGTATTGTTCTGTAGGATTTCGAAAACGAGAAATATGTTTTTGGATACTCCACAAAAGGTAAAACCTACAAATGTGCTATTTAAATATATTTGTTCATGCTTACATATACCGTTAAATAGCCACCACGAACCTTGCGATATGTGGAAATAGCATTCGACCAGATTAAATCAAAACAAAATGTACGAGATGTAGTAATCCTCAACGATTCGGGGCATCCGGTGATGAGTACGATGGTCCGAGACGATGCTGTGCAATTTTCAGGACCTTTTCAGGCTATCCGAGGAAGACTGGAACGTGGGATGAGTAAAATAGATCCCACGGACGAACTGCTAATGCTGAGAGTACGCACCAGAACTAATGAGGTGCTCCTAGTGCCGGACTCCAAGATAACAATACTCGTAGTACAGAATGCGCACGATTATTTCAAGAAATGATTTATCATTTAACATTCGGATTTCCAACGACAAGGCTTATATTTCTTTATTATTCATTGTTCACCTATGCATAAAAATAATATTTTACGATATTTTACGATGGAATATAAAAAGATTATAGCAAGGAACGTATCCACTCCGTGCGTCCCATAACATTTGTAAAAACGAGTATGCTGGACTCTAATAACTGTGAGTGTCCCTCTTGTGTAAGAAACAAAGTTATCAAACAAACCGAGACCAACGACCGCATTTCTCAATATGCAATGCACGACTAAAACCATAACATTTCAGAACGTTTATTATCAGCACTCAACGCTTGACTACCAAAGGATGCTATATAGGTTGACGATGATGGAGTTTCTCTTTTGTATTGATTAAATTAGATTGAAATAACTTATGGTATCATAACTTATGGTATTTATTTCCAACTTTAAGGGTCATCGGGTCATCGGGACTTAAATTTGTCGCAGCAAATCAGTTGTTGGTGTAAAAGGTTAATCTTAATCAATTCCGAAAACAATAATACTAAGTATCCAGAAGGCTTAAAAGAAAGGGCTTTGCCAAAACAATTGGACTCTTCTAACACATGTGTATGAAACACATGGTGTTGTTTTAAAGTTAACTTTCCAGACACATCATAGAAACATTTGGCTGTATTCTTACGTTAACTAAACATATTTTAAAAGCCGAAATGAATACCCATATTTCAAATATACCCTTGCAGTGAATATAAGAATGTAAAATAAACACACACCTTACCTCTCATATGTATGTCTTGGGCTACGAATGTTTGCTACTTATCACCTCTCAAGTGTCTTGTTTTCTGCACGGTGTTTGTCTAAGCATTTATTAAATGTTGCATGTGGTTGTCCATTAAGTCATAACCTTAATAATAATCTATTCTAATCTATCCTAGACGTGCCAGGAATACGAGACCAAAGCAACGACTACCAAGTACCAAGGTATCGACAAGAATACTTAGCATTTATCCACGGGTCTATGGCTGACGTAATGAATTTCAGGAATATTTGGAAATTATATTTGGAATTAATATTTGGAACAACACTTAATTTATAATTGTATTATTAATCAACTTCTCGATTTGAATAAGCATTTAAAAAACTACAAATAATTATATTACATGACTAACTAATATGACTTACAAACTTATCGTTTGTTGAACAACGATTCATACAATTGTTTTTTATGAATAACATAAATTCTTTGAACAGAATAGTGTTTCCAGAGACTTAAATATTTAAAATGTATGGTGTTTATAATACAAGTAATCGCCGTGAGTCAAGTGACGGGAAACTATATTCTTGCTATAAATTTTTTTAAATAATTGAAAGGAACATACATATTTTGAACACAATAAAAAACAATGCTATAGAATGCTATAGTCGAGTTCCCCGACTATCAGATACCCGTTACTCAGTTAGTGGAAGTGCGAAAGAGAAATTTTATAATGTTCTGGAGTATCGGTAAAAATTGCGAAAAAAAATTAATAAATAAAAAAAAAATTCTTTAAATGGGGAAATTTTTATTTATTTTTACAAAAAAATTGATAGTAATTTACAAGACTAATGAAAAAGTAAAAAAATATTACATTTTTCAAAAATGTGGCCATGGCTGTTTTGTTCATACGGACAGACGGACATGGTCAGTTCGAATCGGATAGTGATCCTGATCAAGAATATGTGTATTTTACAGGATCGGAAGCGCTTCCTTTTACGTGTTACACACTTTTTAAGGAATCTATTATACCATTTTACTGTGCTGAAGGTTTTCAAAGTCAGAAAAATGAGTTTAAAATAGAGAAGGTAATGGGCAATTGGGTTTACTAAATTCGTGTCTGACATAAATCCTGTGGATGATGTAAAATCGTAATTATTACTTATCTGTATCTCTCTACATGGCAAAAACATTGTACGGCTACCGCCAGTAGTTGTGCGTAACGGGTATTATATAGTCGAGCACTTTCTCGTTCTCCCTTTTCATCCTTATATCGGTAGAGTTGTGCGGCCTACATTTTGCGATCAGTCATCTTAAAACTCTTGTCGGAAACGCATGTTCTTTGCGTTTGTCGTTCCTTTTTATCGTTGTGCAATTTATATTTCAAATTTCTGTGATTTCGGACCGCTAAGCATTAGAAGGACATTGCTTATACGAATTGGCAGTTTTTCCTCTTCAACGGATAAATCTTCTGCCTACATAACTTCTAAAACTGTATTTGCTTTAGGTCAGTACATTATACTTATTCATATCCCGTGATAACGAAAAATTGTTTATTTTTTTGTAACATCACCAAACTGAGTAATAAATAATATGATCAATAAAAAATTGCTCAAAATGTTATAGGCCATGACACAATTTTTTGTTTTCGCTGGTATTAGACAGATAGTTCAGTTTCGCGGAGATCATTTCTGCTACTTTATTACGGAAGACAGAGCATTCTTCTTAACGTAGACATTAAAGTTATACGGTGATAAACTATAGCATATTTAATTTAAAATGAGTTGACTATGATTTTAGTTTTCTTTGCAGAAAATGCGGTTAATAGACGTATTGTCAATCGCAGTTCTTTTGCTGTTGATGCAAAATTCAATTGCCGAAATCCCAGGTTGCGACTTCTACGACACCGTAGATATTTCAAAAGCACAAAGGTTCTCGAACGGAACGTACCTTTATGAAGGCTTGTTGATCCCCGCCCATTTGACTGCTGAATATGACTTCAAGCTCCTGGCCAACGGCTCAAGTGAGAGGGTGGCGACCCACGTAAGAGGATGTGTCTGCCAACTAAGGCCCTGCATCAGGTTTTGCTGCCCTCCGTACCACAAAATGCGTATGAGCAAGTGCAAAGGCGACATGTCAAAAGACGATATGGACAGGCACGACCCCTTTGTGAACCTGACGCTCCGCGACGGGTCGGTGGTCAAGAGACACTTCAAGGAGGACCTAATCGTGCAGTCGGATCTGGACCTGCCCGGATGTCCCAAGATGCATTTTCTGGATCACGAAATGCCGGGCAACGGCTTCACTCTTTTTGAGGCAAGGTGCCTGTGTTTCTGTCTCCTATGAAAAATTTAAACGCCTTTGAATCTCCGTAGAATGGATCCCTTCTGCGTCACTGGGACACCAAAGAGTTGAACAAGCGGGAGTACTGCGTCCAGCATCTTTCATTCAAGGGTAAAAGTACCCGAATTGCGCCCCACTTCTGTCCTCTTTCATCTGAGCATTCCAAAACATGGAAAACCGTTGGTAAGTTGATATCCCTGTTTGGTCTGTTTCTTAGTTTAATGTCCTACTTCCACAGCGATAGTGCTATCCCTAGTATGCATAGTCCTCACGATCAGCGTGTACCTCTACGTCGAGCAGCTTCGCAACCTACACGGGATGTGTTTCATCTGCTACTTGGCCTCCCTGTTCCTGGGCTACCTCTTCCTGATCCTAAACGTGTGGAAATACTCATCCGGCTTCTGCGTTGCAGCAGGTTTGCTTATGGCGACAAAGATCAAGGATCACTAATTTGACATTCTGTTATCGACATCATCAGGGTTCCTGGGTTACTTCTTCGTCATGGCCGCGTTCTTTTGGCTTTCCGTTATTAGTACAAACTTCTTCATCACGTTAAATGGAACCTCTAATTGGTCAAACCGTTTTTTGCCGGAAAATCCTAGCTTCCTAACTTACAACTTATACGCCTGGAGCATGACGCTACTCCTGACCGCAATCACCTATATAGCTGACCAGGTGGTTAAGAACGAGCAGTTGAAACCCCGCGTGGGCTTCGGCAGAAATTGTTGGATTTATAGTGGGTTTCTATTCCTATAATTACAATTGCGATGTAACCCTTCTTGTAACCAACAGCTGGGGATATGCGTGTCATGATCTACTTCTATGGCCCGATGCTACTGATACTCGTTTTCAACATAGTAATGTTCCTCCTGATTGCGATTCCCATATTACGGACAAAGAAGAAAGTGAAAGCCTTCAACCAACAACTAGAAACGAAACAAAAGCTGAACTCGAACACACAAGCGTAATGATTATACATTATTAGATAATTACTATAATGTAAAGGTGCACTTGTTGTAATCTATTACAGGTATGGCACATGCCTGCGACTTTTCATTATCATGGGTTTGTCGTGGAGCTTCGAAATAATCTCGTATATGGTGAACAAAAATGAGGCTTGGGCAAAGGTTTTAATGGTGGCTGACTACTTCAACTGGTCCCAGGGTACCATCATATTTGTGCTTTTTATTTTAAAACCGAGGACTCTAAAACTTATAATATCAGCGTAAGTAATATGTTTCAAATAATCATGATATTCGATCAGCTTATACTTATGAATAATATTTTGCTGTAGGGTACAGCGAAACGCCCAATGGAGTCACCCTAACGCGATGCCAAAAGCAGATCGATATAATTCAAGTGATACGGCTTGTGAAGGAACGAGTGCGGATCCAAACGGAGCATAGCTTTAATTGGATGTACATAGATAGGGAGTCGCTTTTTTCAGCAAAAATTAATGGAATTCAATAACAATAAAATATTTGGACTTCAAAATTGATAACCGCTTTAGTACATTGTATCTTCATGTGAAGATGCAAATGTTACTGATAAACTATGATGATATGAATGAGTAATTTTGAGTAAAGTAGGTTAAAAAACCCTTTAGCTTAACAGAAGCAAAATGGGATTAAAAACTTTTAAACTACAGCGCAAGAGAGTACAGTGCCAAAAAATATGGTGAACACACACATATGTATGTGCAAAATGTATTTATGTACACACGCAACATGTGAATTTGGACTAATAGTCTCTCTTTCGGCGGGAAACGAATCAGTCGGCAAAGAAACGCGGTTGCGTATCTACACACTTATTTCCTAAGGGTCATCGGGTAATCGGGACTTAAATTGTCGCAGAAAATCAGTTGTTGGTGTAAAAGGTTAATCTTTATTCAATTCCTAAAACAATAATACTAAGTATCCAGTCCAAAATATTTCAATTACCATGTTTTGTTTAAGAGAGCGTGAATTGCGCTCTTTCTTCTAACACATTTAAGAATTTGCACATGGTATTGTTGTAAAGTTAAATTTCCAGTCACATCATATACATATGTATACATTTGCACATGACTGTATTCAGACGTTAACTAAACATATTTTAAAAAGCCGAAATGTATGTAAGTAATACCCACATTTCAGATAGATTTTGGCAGAGACTATACATATACAAATGTATAGTAGAACCAAGCTGCTTCCGCAAGCCGCACCAAATATACCCTTGCAGTGAATATAAGAATGTAAAGTAAACACTAAATTTTACCTCTGCCTATGGCAGCTTAAGTCAAATTAAAATCAAAAAAATGTTTGATTATTCCTATCGCATCTACATATGTATGTATGTACATATATGCTATAGTCATCTGATCAGACGAGTTCCGGCGTATAAGTACATATACTACTTGCAATAGAAAGTAGACTTTTATGAAAGCTTAATTCATATATGTATGTATGTAGCTTAAAAAGAATATCAAGAATATGTGTAATGACATCCTTTTACTTGTTACATAATTTTAGGCGAATCTATGATACCATTTTACTTTACAAGAAACGAGTATAAAAAGTGGATTGGTAACAATAAAAAATGTATATTATAGTATTAAACATCGACTTGGCAATTTTGCACACGTTCTACATTGTGTTAAATGTTTTCTAATTTTTTTTCGTGGAACTGTTATTCATAAGCATAGAATAAATTAATTTCTATCAAATTTAGTGTGCAAATTTCTAAGAAATCTAAAAATGTTACGGCCGAGTTCCAAGAAGTGAACAACAAGCAAGCACATAAAAAGCAAACAAATGCGTATAAGAGAGGTTGTTGGTTAAGCACACAAAAAAACTCTCCCAAATAGCAACCAACCCATTAGCATTATTGAAAGATATGTATGTACATATGAATGTATACCAAAGACACTGGAACAACACGATGCGTAAGCGCCATACGTTTTTTTGCACACGATTTTTTCTCTCTCAGCTGAGAGAGAGAACGCTAGAGCCAGCATCGCTCTTGTACGCATACAGCGATAGTCGATCACTGAACATATATACATACATATGTGCGCACACGTATGCTCATGTTTGCAAATTTGACAACATTTGCCCTTCACTTCAGAAGCTTATGGACTTTCCAAATCATCTTGTCTTCAATATGTTTATACATACAGCAAATGATTTTTTCTTTGCAGAAAATGCGGTTAATAGACGTATTGTCAATCGCAGTTCTTTTGCTGTTGATGCAAAATTCAATTGCCGAAATCCCAGGTTGCGACTTCTACGACACCGTAGATATTTCAAAAGCACAAAGGTTCTCGAACGGAACGTACCTTTATGAAGGCTTGTTGATCCCCGCCCACTTGACTGCTGAATATGACTTCAAGCTCCTGGCCAACGGCTCAAGTGAGAGGGTGGCGACCCACGTAAGAGGATGTGTCTGCCAACTAAGGCCCTGCATCAGGTTTTGCTGCCCTCCGTACCACAAAATGCATATGAGCAAGTGCAAAGGCGACATGTCAAAGGTCGAGTTGGACACGCACGACCCCCTTGTGAACCTGACGCTCCGCGATGGGTCGGTGGTCAAGAGACACTTCCAGGAGGACCTAATCGTGCAGTCGGATCTGGACCTGCCCGGATGTCCCAAGATGTATTTTCTGGATCACGAAATGCCGGGCAACGGCTTCACTCTTTTTGAGGCAGGGTGCCTGTGTTTCTGTCTTCTATGAAAAATTTAAACGCCTTTGAATCTCCGTAGAATGGATCCCTTCTGCGTCACTGGGACACCAAAGAGTTGAACAAGCGGGAGTACTGCGTCCAGCATCTTTCATTCAAGGGTAAAAGTACCCGAATTGCGCCCCACTTCTGTCCTCTTTCATCTCAACCCACCAAAACATGGAAAACCGTTGGTAAGTTGATATCCCTGTTTGGCCTGTTCCTTAGTTTAATGTCCTACTTCCACAGCGATAGTGCTATCCCTAGTATGCATAGTCCTCACGATCAGCGTGTACCTCTACGTCGAGAAGCTTCGCAACCTACACGGGATGTGTTTCATCTGCTACTTGGCCTCCCTGTTCCTGGGCTACCTCTTCCTGGTCCTAAACTTGTGGAGATACTCATCCGGCTTCTGCATTACAGCAGGTTTGCTGATGGAGACAAAGATCAAGGATCACTAATTTGACATTCTGTTATCAACATCATCAGGGTTCCTGGGTTACTTTTCCATCATGGCCGCGTTCTTTTGGCTTTCTGTCATCAGCCTTACTCTCTGGAATACATTCAGCGGCAGCTCCAGCTGGTTGAACCGTTTCCTGCCGGAAAATCGGTTCCTAACTTATAATTTATACGCCTGGGGAATGGCGCTACTCCTGACCGCAATCACCTATATAGCTGACCAGGTGGTTAAGAACGAGCAGTTGAAACCCCGCGTGGGCGTCGGCAGAAATTGTTGGATTTATAGTGGGTTTCTATTCCTATAATTACAATTGCGATGTAACCCTTCTTGTAACCAACAGCTGGGGATATGGGTGTCATGATCTACTTCTATGGCCCGATGCTACTGATAATCGTTTTCAACACAGTAATGTTCGTCCTGACGGCTATTCGTATCATAAAAGTGAAGAAGGAAGCCAAAAACTTTACTCAACAGCACACAACAACCAAAAGGCTCAACTCGGACAAACAGACGTAATGATTTTACATTTTAGTAATTTTTAAAGTCAAAAGTTAAAATGTTTACCTATTATCCAAATCTTTTAAAGTTACACCCTATTCTTGCGACTCTTCATTGTCATGGGCTTGTCGTGGAGCTTGGAAATAATATCGTTTTTGTTGAGGAAGAACGAGGATTGGGCGAAGGCTTTTTTAGTGGTTGACTACTTCAATTGGTCGCTGGGTACCGTCATCTTCGTACTCTTTATTCTAAGGCCCGGAACACTGAAACTGCTAAAGGAGCGGTAAGTAATCGTTTCTTCCATTAGAGCTCCAAATTTTCAGACTTTATCATTGCAGAATTAAGGGTAAGAGTCATGAAGTCGGCGCCAGCGATGAAAATATCTCACTTCAGAATACGAAAATAGACCCCAGTGTTTTTTAATAGGTAATGTTTATCAGTTTATCAGATCGTTTGGTGTTGGAAACCCTTAATTTAGTACCCCTAACAGGCAGCAAAATATAAAAGTGTTTGCTTACTCATCTTAGGCTACGAATGTCTGCTACTTATCACCTCTCAAGTGTCTTGTTTTCTGCACGGTGTTTGTCTAAGCATTTATTAAATGTTGCATGTGGTTGTCCATTAAGTCATAACCTTAATAATAATCTATTCTAATCTATCCTAGACGTGCCAGGAATACGAGACCAAAGCAACGACTACCAAGTACCAAGGTATCGACAAGAATACTTAGCATTTATCCACGGGTCTATGGCTGACGTAATGCATTTCAGGAATATTTGGAAATTATATTAGGAATTAATATTTGGAACAAATGGAACAACCCTTAATTTATAATTAATTATTATTAATCAACTTCTCGATTTGAATCAGCATTTAAAAAACTACAAATAATTATATTACATGACTAACTAATATGACTTACTAACTTATCGTTTGTTGAACAACGATTCATACAATTGTTTTTAATGAATAACATAAATTCTTTCCACAAAATAGTGTTTCCAGAGACTTAAATATTTAAAATGTATGGTGTTTATAATAAAAGTAATCGCCGTGAATCAAGTGACGGGAGACTATATTCTTGTTAGAACATTTTTTTAGTTCGACTCGGCTATTAATCAAGAATATATATACTTTATATGGTCGGTATGCCTGTTACATACTTTTTAACGAATCTAGTATACCCTTTTACTCTACGAGTAACGGGTATAATTATTTATCACGCATACCATCCAAAAAAAATATTTTAAAAAATTTGAAAACAAATTCTATAAACTTACATAAACATTAAGTAAAAATTACATATGTATTTTATGTAGGCTCACCACTGAACGATAGAGGAAATTAGGAAAAACGCTATAGTCGAGATCGTCGACTATCAGATTCCCATTACTCAGCATGGGGCATTGCGTAAAATGATTTTTCAAAATTATTTTTAGTATCGATAAAAATTGATATACAAAATAATAAAATACAAAAGTTGAATGGGGCAGATGCAATTTTTTTGGCGTTAGAGTGGGCGTGGCAACGTTGTGAGCAAACTTGCACAGCGTAGGCGTCACTACAAACTCAATCTTAACTTTAATCTTAACTTCGTTCAATAGTTCCCGAGATCACAGCCTCCTTACGCACGTACAGACGGACATGGCCAGTTCGAATCGGATAGTGATCCTGATCAAGAATATGTGTATTTTACAGGATCGGAAGGGCTTCCTTTTACGTGTTACATACTTTTTAAGGAATCTATTATACCATTTTACTGTGCTGAAGGTTTTCAAAGTCAGAAAAATGAGTTTCAAATAGAGAAGGTAATGGGCAATTGGGTTTGCTAAATTCGTGTCTGACATAAATCCTGTGGATGATGTAAAATCGTAATTATTACTTATCTGTATCTCTCTACATGGCAAAAACATTGTACGGCTACCGCCAGTAGTTGTGCGTAACGGGTATTATATAGTCGAGCACTTTCTCGTTCTCCCTTTTCATCCTTATATCGGTAGAGTTGTGCGGCCTACATTTTGCGATCAGTCATCTTAAAACTCTTGTCGGAAACGCATGTTCTTTGCGTTTGTCGTTCCTTTTTATCGTTGTGCAATTTATATTTCAAATTTCTGTGATTTCGGACCGCTAAGCATTAGAAGGACATTGCTTATACGAATTGGCAGTTTTTCCTCTTCAACGGATAAATCTTCTGCCTACATAACTTCTAAAACTGTATTTGCTTTAGGTCAGTACATTATACTTATTCATATCCCGTGATAACGAAAAATTGTTTATTTTTTTGTAACATCACCAAACTGAGTAATAAATAATATGTTAAATAAAAAATTGCTCAAAATGTTATAGGCCATGACACAATTTTTAGACAGATAGTTCAGTTTCGCGGAGATCATTTCTGCTACTTTATTACGGAAGACAGAGCATTCTTCTTAACGTAGACATTAAAGTTATACGGTGATAAACTATAGCATATTTAATTTAAAATGAGTTGACTATGATTTTAGTTTTCTTTGCAGAAAATGCGGTTAATAGACGTATTGTCAATCGCAGTTCTTTTGCTGTTGATGCAAAATTCAATTGCCGAAATCCCAGGTTGCGACTTCTACGACACCGTAGATATTTCAAAAGCACAAAGGTTCTCGAACGGAACGTACCTTTATGAAGGCTTGTTGATCCCCGCCCATTTGACTGCTGAATATGACTTCAAGCTCCTGGCCAATGACTCAAGGGAGAGGGTGGCGACCCACGTAAGAGGATGTGTCTGCCAACTAAGGCCCTGCATCAGGTTTTGCTGCCCTCCGTACCACAAAATGCATATGAGCAAATGCAAAGGCGACATGTCAAAAGACGAGATGGACAGGCACGACCCCTTTGTGAACCTGACGCTCCGCGACGGGTCGGTGGTCAAGAGACACTTCAAGGAGGACCTAATCGTGCAGTCGGATCTGGACCTGCCCGGATGTCCCAAGATGTATTTTCTGGATCACGAAATGCCGGGCAACGGCTTCACTCTTTTTGAGGCAGGGTGCCTGTGTTTCTGTCTCCTATGAAAAATTTAAACGCCTTTGAATCTCCGTAGAATGGATCCCTTCTGCGTCACTGGGACACCAAGGAGTTGAACAAGCGGGAGTACTGCGTCCAGCATCTTTCATTCAAGGGTAAAAGTACCCGAATTGCGCCCCACTTCTGTCCTCTTTCATCTGAACCCACTAAAACATGGAAAACCGTTGGTAAGTTTATATCCCTGTTTGGCCTGTTTCTTAGTTTAATGTCCTACTTCCACAGCGATAGTGCTATCCCTAGTATGCATAGTCCTCACGATCAGCGTGTACCTCTACGTCGAGCAGCTTCGCAACCTATACGGGATGTGTTTCATCTGCTACTTGGTCTCCCTGTTCCTGGGCTACCTCTTCCTGGTCCTAAACGTGTGGAGATACTCATCCGGCTTCTGCGTTGCAGCAGGTTTGCTTATGGCGACAAAGATCAAGGATCACTAATTTGACATTCTGTTATCAACATCATCAGGGTTCCTGGGTTACTTTTCCGTCATGGCCGCGTTCTTTTGGCTTTCCGTTATTAGTATAAACTACTGGATTATGTTCAATGGATCCTCTAACTGGTTGAACCGTTTCCTGCCAGAAAATCGGTTCCTAACTTACAATTTATACGCCTGGGGCATGGCGCTACTTCTGACCGCAATCACCTATATAGCTGACCAGGTGGTTAAGAACGAGCAGTTGAAACCCCGCGTGGGCGTCGGCAGTAATTGTTGGATTTATAGTGGGTTTCTATTCCTATAATTACAATTGCGATGTAACCCTTCTTGTAACCAACAGCTGGGGATATGGGTGTCATGATCTACTTCTATGGCCCGATGCTACTGATAATCGTTTTCAACATAGTAATGTTCGTCCTGACGGCTATTCGTATCATAAAAGTGAAGAAGGAAGCCAAAAACTTTACTCAACAGCACACAAAAACCAAAAGGCTCAACTCGGACAAACAGACGTAATGATTTTACAATATTTTAGTCATTTTTAAAGTCAAAAGTTAAAATGTTTATTTATTTACCAAATCTTTTAAAGTTACATCCTATTCCTGCGACTCTTCATCGTCATGGGCTTGTCCTGGAGCTTCGAAATAATCTCGTTTATGTTGAACAAAAGGGAGGCTTGGGCCAAGGCTTTAATAGTGGCTGACTACTTTAACTGGTCCCAGGGTACCATCATATTTGTACTTTTTATTTTAAATCCAAAAATTCTAAAACTTATAATACAAGGGTAAGTAATCTATTTCGATAATCACGATACTCGTTCATCTGCTACCTAAGAATAATATTTTGTTATAGGGGACAACGAAACCTCCAATGGAGCCACCATACCGCGAGATCAAAAGCAGATCGACTTAATTTAAGTGATACTGTCATGCTTTCAAAAGTACATTTTCCATATGAAGATGAATGCCAGACGTATGATATGAGTAATTATACCCGTTCCTCGTAGAATAAGAGGGTGTTCTAGATTTGTTGAAATGTATGTCCAACCATATAAAGTATTCTTGATTAGGATCAATAGCCGAGTCGATCTGGCCATGTCTGCCCGTATGAACGCCTCGATCTCACGATTTGCCAACAAACTTTTTGCCTCGCCCATTCTAACGCCCACAAACTGTCACGCCCACACTTTTACAATTTTTTGTAGCTTATTTCACTTTATTTCTCGTTTGCACTTCCACTAGCTGAGTAACGGGTATCTGATAGTCGGGGAACTCGAGTATAGCATTCTTTCTTGTTCTGAGTAATGTTTATTGAAAAACACCTAGTAAACAAGAGGCAATATGAGACTAACAACTCAAAATAAAACGAACAGAGTTTACATACATTGCTTATATTTTTATATATATGAAGTGATTACTATAATATTTTTACTGACACAATTTTGTGTGCAGGCTTTGAAGGTAACCATTAAAAAAATAGTACCTTGCGCAAGAGTATTCAATGGGGTAACTCTTTCATTTGCACGTGGATTCACTGATTCACTGTATCAAATTGGGAAAATGCCCCAACGAAATGTAAAAACATTTCTGACACCGGTGATCCGAACCAGGGTTTGAGTCAACAATGCTGGCCCATCACTCGCAAGTACCAAACGATAACAGAAAACTTTTGCTAATCGATTAAGCATCGGAGGTCATCGATGTTTCTCCACCTCTACCTATTAATGTTGTTTTTTTAGTCGCGGCTGTTTGAGGTTTGTCGCTTTCCTCCGTTGCGAATAGAAAATATAACGTAGTACATTTTATTACAAACGGAATTGCGAACGCAACGACTACAATAACAGTAGTAGTACTAACCGTAAGCGCAGGGGCCAAAAATTAGATTGTGTTTGCTGCCGCAAAAAGTTGATGACGTCGCCGTCTTCTAGGGCGTAAAAAGCCAAGCAAAGCAAACAAACGCGAAAAGCGAAACGTGTAAACGACGTAGAAGCGATAAACGCAACTCAAATACGCAGCAGATAAAATATAAAAGAAAAATCACGGGAATTATTTTTCATATTCGGCGTCTTTTTGCGAGAGTAAACGTGTGTGCGTTTGCCAGTGTCGTGAGTGTTTGTGTGTGTGTGTGATTAAGAGGATAAAAAGGAATAGAACGGTAAATGCAGCGCCGCAAAAATGTGCAGCCTGACGCCAAACCACATGGTCAACGTAACGCAGCAGCACCTACACGATCTATTGGAAACTTTCGAAAAAAAGTCCTTCGAGGCGGCGGCCTTTGAGGAAGGAACGGCGGTAAGTTAACGAGACCAGTGTGTGCGTGTATCAGTGAGTGTGGGTGTGACATACATTTAGGCGCACGTGCACGTGCTGTCGCCGCAAAAACACACAGACACACACATACACGAAATGTTTGGCGTGCTAGTGTGCGTTGCGTCTATGCCGAGGACACGTCATAATGTCCTTTCCTCCTATTGCTCTTATTCTTTTCCCTTCCTTGCGCTCCTCTTCATTGCCGTCTTCCTTATGCCGCGCCCCAAAAATACTCAGTCACTCAAAATGGCCGCCATTAAGCTTCCCGTGATGAAAATCGCATTTCATGGCAATCAATAGGCGCTAAAACATGTCGTCGATGGACTTAATGGTTCGTTTCCTCTATGACCGGAATTATTCATTGGATAGCTTTTCCAATTTGGTAGTCTATCACCTTTTCTTCTATCAACCTATTAGATCACTAATCATTAATAAAAAAAAATCTGTCTAATTTAGGCAACAATACTATTTAATTTAATTGATTTTGTTTAAAGTCTTAACTTTTCCATAAGCAAGTGTTTTAAATATTATTTTGTGTTGGCAGCTTTCGTTTTATGCTTGTTATAATAAAAATTTTCAATCCATTTTTAAGAATTATATTGAGTTTTAGCTTTCAAAGTTCCTCATCGATTTGCACTTAATCTGGGCATTAAATTTAATTTAATTAGGAAATGCCGAGCAAGCAGGTTTTCCAAAACCGGAAAACTTTCTTAATAGCTTTTGTTCTCGAATTGCCATTGAAACTCAATGTCCCACTAAGCTGTGCTAAGCGATAATTAAAAGCCTAATGGCCTTTTTGGGCCCGCCCCTAAAACATGCGTAAATGTGCATTTTCTTTCCCCGACACGCGCACGAACTTGATTGTTGTCTTTTGCATTCGACTCATCCCCATTCAAACCTTTCACCCATTTAACCTCTCGAATGTCACGCACGCCTTTAAATAGTCTAGTATGTAATGCCGTCTTATCGCCCGCTTAACTGGCAATAACCCAGAATAACAATTGTAATGGCAACTTGGCAACAGCGCTGCTCATTTGCATGCCAGTGCTGGCGAATATATATACATATATTTAAGCCAAATCTCAGTGCCAGGCTGCCTGGAAACAGAGCGAGGAAAGCCAAGTCGAAACTTGGCACGTAACTCACGTTTCCGCGACGATCTCACATGGGTTTATTCAGCTGCAATTGGCAAGAATGTTGTGCCGCCACCGCAGAAGGGCTAATACTTTGTTGTAAACGTGTGTTTTATCAAACTATAGCCAGGTCTTATCGCCACGCAGGGCGCCAACCTTCGATTTGATTTTCCACAAGTATTTTCCTATTCATATTCCTTATCAGCCAGCTAGTTGAAGGCACAAACAAAAAGCTTCTACTGCCCCTTGATATAATACAAAGCATTGCATTTTTGATGGGGTGCAAAGGGTGAAATATGTGTGCGATTCTCTCTCACTTGTTTATTTCCCAGTCTCCTCGGGGTTCAGGGTTAAGTTTAGCCACACCGATTAGATTAGGCGTCCCAGCCAAAGTCACAATACTTAAACAGATGACATAGGCCGGCGATAAGGTTTAAAACTTCCACAGAATGTATGTAAATAACATTAAATATCTTAAATATACGAGATAATAATGCAAAAAAAAAGGGGAAAATATACCCCTAAAGTATTTACTATGATTCACGGGAATTTTAAGATAAATCTTGAACATAATAATAGTACCTATAATATATATTTAAGAAATCATTAAAATTGAATTTAAGAGATTTCCAAATCCAAATGTATTACTCGTCGTCTCCGATGATCAATCAAAAACAAACCATTAAAAGCGGCTCTTGTTTATCACGTGACGATGATTACCAAAAGAACTTGCCGTTTAAGCAAACTTCTTAAATGCCTTCAGCCACAAACCGAGAGATTAATAATATAAAGTTGGCTCCAATTTACATCAAGACATGGAAATATTTAATATTCAACATCCATTCAAAAAACTTACACTTATTTATGATGGTTCACTACAAAAAATTACATTTATAAATGTAGATTTGCTAAAAAAAAAAAAAAAAAGTACATTTAAAAAGTTTTGCAGTAGACGCCGACCGATCGTTGGATAATTATGGCATGCTTATGGACTTAGAAACCCTGGAAACTCCGGCGGAACTCTTCCTCGAAATCCCCGTGTGCAAGATCAAGCTTGTGGAAGTCGGTGAATCCCTCGCGATCCAGCTTGGCCTGGGCCCAAAGGATCAGCTTAATGAGGAACATCATTCTTGGCTCCATGGGCTCCTCTTTGCTCTTACTCTCACCCTCGTGGCAGCGCAACATGGCTGCATTTATTTCACCGGCCACCTTTTGGCGATACGAATAGTACATAAGCTCCCCGTAGGGGCTGTATTCCGGCCGATCAAATGCCAGCAGACCCATGGTCCGCTCCACTTCGTGGTAGTGCCTTGGATCGACTTTGGAAAATCCCGCTGCCTTGCTCTGGGCGAACTTCAAGGCCTTTTCCATCTTCTGATCCCTGATCATCTCGATCAGACGCAATTGTTGCATGTGGAAAAACACATAGTTGTCGGTCTCGAAGAGGCGAGGATAGATCCGTGTGGCCAGATCCATAGCGTACTTGACCTGACCCACCCGGACGGCATCCTGAACCCTCAATCGATCCCCGATGGTGTCCATGTGCGGACCCGGCTTCACCGCCGCCTCGGTCATGAAACGCTTGGCGGCCTCTTGATAGCCCTCTAAATGGATGTTTTGTACATCAGCCTGGAAGAAAGCATACTAGTGAGACTCACCCGTAACCAGATAGTTCATAACCAGGCGATTCAGATCCGCCTGCCGACACTGGAAGCTCATCATCCGGTGGGGCCACGAAGTTGATGGCCTATATTCGGCCATTCTCAATTGTTCTAAACTGATTTAGGTACTGGAAAATGAATGATACGTGAAAAAGTCAATTGAAAAGTTATTAGAAAGCTGTCGAGATCTGTCTTCTTAGTTTTACTAATGGCCAAGCGTTCTTTGTGCCATATAGGAAAGATCCGTTGCTAATCATCTATTAGCAATGTTCTGATCATTATATCACTTTTGTTTTCACATCACTTTTGCGCATTGGTTGTACTTTCGCAAACTGATTTATTTTTATGACCTGGCATTGAAAACTGTTGCAGATGCAAATGCGAGTGTGTATTGGGTTTTGCATTTGTATTTAGTATCTGCGTGGGTGGGGTGAACCATTTGTCTGCTTGTGCGGGCGCCAAAAAGTCAATCCGGGCCAAGCAAAAATGCCAAAAATAGCAGGAAGGCTTTTTCTTCATAAATATATAACTTTCGTAAACATTTTTGTTTGTTTTGGCCATTTTGGTTGTTTTTATTTGTATATTTAATTTATTTTTTCGCACAGTGTTAGAACCCACCTGTTGTTGTTTTTGTTGCTGCTTTCGTTGTCAATCAAAGATTTTTGCAAAAATTTCACCTGCTGAAAACGAAGAAAAGGGTGAAATTATGTTGCAATACCATGGAATGGAATATGGAAAAACGTACTGTTGTTTTTTTTGTATTGTTCGGATGGCTAGCAATGGCTAGCTGATATCTATGTAGTTTGACTTGTTTTTTTTTGGCAACAATCGGCTTAATCCAAACCAATTGGACCAAAAACGGCCGCGTAGCGAGCGCTGCCTTTGGCGCCTGCTGGAACACTACTCTGGTCCCAGGAACTGCAGGACCTGGATGGCAGCTACTCCTCCGCATTAATGTGTATCCCGCCTGGCGCCTTCCAGTCTGCAGCTCGCTTCCAGTGTGGAGATTGCACTCGTTTTGGGGGTTGCAACAGTTCCAGGAACAGTGAAGCCTCCCTGTGGCATACGCCGATGCACTGAGGATAGAGTATTTGACCCTTCTGGCCGCTCCTGGTCGCCTGCTTTCGTTGGCAGCAGTCTGTGCCGTGGCCACGCCCCCGATAACGTCAGCTTCCCACCCCCGCCCCCGGAAACGGATGCAGCTGCGCTGCAAGCCGTGCGGTGTCATTTGTGTGGGCGCTTTGGAAAATGCGGCACAGGCGCGCAGGAATCGCCGGAAGAGCGGAAGTGCGACGCCTTCCAGCGCAACAATTGCAACCAAAGTTCGACACAGTGGGATAAGTTCGCTTAAATATGAGAGCTTTGGTCATCCTGAAATACATCATAACATGTTTATGTTCACTTAGTAAACAATAATTCGCTGCTCCTTAAATTTATTATTATAATATTATTATACTCATTATATATATATTCAAAAATGTATAAAAAATACATTTAAATTGACAAGGCTTACGCGTTTTTGGTGATTGATTTTTAATTTATGTATACATTATAATAGCTCGTCAAGCATGCAAAAAATAATTATTGGATGACCTCAGTGTGCAGAGGGGAAATTAGAACTGCCATGAATTTTGGGTCAATGATTGTTTTTATTTGTGTCAATGGTAAAGAAATATAAATGCCAGTCAAATGAAGGATCAAAATAAGCGTTTGATTTCTATTGTTTCCACTCCTACAAAGTCAAACTTTTGAATAAAGGTTAGATTTCGGGGTAATAATTAAAAAGCGTGTCAAACAAATTGTATCCCTCCATTTAAATCGAATAATTGCTTGTTCTTACTTGTTTGTATATGTACATAACCAATTTCTGTTAGTTTCGTATTATCAGTCCCACTGTGCACAGGCGACTTGGGACCCTGCACCCTTTTATGGCAGCCTGTTGCACGTTGAACTTTGCTCCCACGCGTTTGGATGCGCCAACCCGCAACGCCCCCTCGGTCGCAGTGTGTGTGTGCAAATGTGTTCGATGGCCAGCTGTTGCTGCAAGGTGCGTGGGTCGCACCGCAGACACTTGTGCCAGGAACGCAGGAGTGGATGTAGTGGGGCAACATTGAACAGCCCCCTGGGAGGTGGGGTGGGGGTGTGCGAAGGGGATATTCGGGAGGAGTGTCTAGTGGTCTGGAGGGGAAGTGCATCTCCGCATCCCCGCAGCTGTAGTAATGCGAGCAGCTGCGCTTCCAGCTCTTATCGGGGATGCAGCAGCAGCTTTCCGGGCGCATGTCCGCAATGGAGAGAGTCAGCGAGTTCGATTTGATTAAGGGCCAGTCCGATAAAGGGTTCCAATGCTTCCAGATTACATACGTGTACGTACATATGTGTGAATGGATGTTGCAACGGCATTCAAAGTGGAGTAAATCGAAGCACCCTGCTGCGGAACTCCTCGCGCATTCCGGACTAACTGCCTAGCATCCGGACCCACCATGCAAGCATGATTAGAAGAAGGGCACAACTCGCCATCGCCATGTTCGCTACTACTCCTCCGATTTTCCAGCTACGTGTGCTTTCGGATGCTGCCGATTTTGAGCCACCAACTTGACATTCATGCTCGCCTGTTCGCTGACAGATAAAATCGATAATGTGCGAAATGGCAATGCCGCCTTCACTCCACTATTTGCAGGGAGTTCGGATTCAGATTCGGATTCGTTATGTTGGATGGAGGGATCGGCTTTCGTTTGATTATGCCCAAAGCTTAAATAAGGGATGTTGGCCGAAAGCAAACGAATTGTTAAGTTGTGTGCTCGATTGCAAGGGGCCAACAGGAGCGCAGAAATCCTACCTATTGATTTTAATTTGCGGTAAAGCACTGCGAAAAATATATTCTACATATCCACGATGTGTTTAATTTTTATTAGTTAATATATGATATTAATATATGATGTCATATAGACATAGAATTCCATTTCATTTTCTGCTAGCCCATGCTGGCATTGCCGAACTGAATCGATTATTCCGATGACCTTCTTTTCACATCACAGTGAATTGCCTGATGGGAAACCAGAAAGCGAGAAAAGCGATCGGCGCCTGGCGGAACTCAATTCTGATTGTGGGTATGAGTGTGCGTGTGTGGGCGAGGAAATTGTCTTCCTGACTGGCTGGCGAATAAATTAAGCAAATGATAAATAGGTTTCTGAAACACCCCTGCTCTTACTCATTACGAGTATTCGTAACGCCCACTTACTGCGCTCAATTATTGCCATGGCAAAGTGTTTGAAGTGCTTTCATGCGTTTGTTTGGCAGGCAAAAAACATTTAGCTCTTCAGGGCGGCAAAAAACTTTCGACTCAAACGTGCCTCAGACCTCCATTGGAAACATCTCCGTCGCATATCATCCACAAAGCGGTTTCAATGCCTTTCGAAAGTTGTCCCACACACACTGTCGAGTAAAAAAAAAATAATGCAAAAGAAAAATATGCAAATCAACTGCACCGGCAATTTGCATATTAAAAGTTCATTAATATACCCAATCGATGTGAATGAAGTTACATAAATTAAAAGAAATGCTAGTCGTTAACGTAAAGATTAGCGAAAATAATTGGAAAAAAATGCAAAGTGGTTTCTAAGAAACATGCATCGCATATTTGTGGTTCAAAGTTTTAGCATATTATTCTCAATGCTGTTAGGGTACAGAGGTAACCTATTATTACTCGTTCTTAACCTTAAAACAATATATTTTACAATGAACAATGCAAACAATGTATTTTGTTTCGCTGCTTTATGATGGGAAATAACTTGCTTTTACACCTACGAACAAAGCGCAAATATGTTGAATTGTTCGGAGATAAAGAAGAGCGCTCTAACTAATAATAATCCCAACAGAACTGTACTGCGCATCCAGTTCCTTGATTTGGAACCTGATCCCAAAGCCGACTCAGCGTTTGAAACGTGGGCGCAACTTGTTTTCATATCGGGGGGTCTTTGAACGCCGGCGAAAACAACACGCTGCACATTTTAAAGCGCAAGCATAAATCATGTAAACAAGAACAACGAGTATCAAAGGCGGAAGTCCCAGTCCCAGTCATTTTGGGTGTGGTCAGTGGCCCCAGTTTAAAGCCTTAGTTCGTCCACTCAATAATTCATTCAAGAAAAGCCATTTCCCTGTCGCCGGCGGATTGATGAATATGCAACGTGTGGATTGCATCGAGGCCTCCTTAAGTTTTTCAGGTTATTCGGCAAAAAAAAGAACGAGACACGAGTCAGAGCAGGAGCTCAAGCCTCAGCTTTTACAGTAAACATAACGTATTGGGAAATATGGCATGGAAATAATTATTAAAACAAGAAGTGCAAGCTTAGTCGAGGGATTTGTTGTTCTGAATTGGTTTTGCAGTTCCATTGTGGCTGCAATTAAAGTGTTATGCAGTTAAAGTGTTTAAAAATATTAAACTGTTTCCGAAAGAGGGAAACATTTACATTTTGGAAGTTACATTTCAAGGAGAGTTAAGTCGGTGTTAAGGAAGCCGTACTGTACTGAATGGACGACCCTCTCCTCCCTTTTCTTTTGCTGATTCCCTGTGCTTGGTCGAGTTGGTTCGGTTCGGTTGGTGGTTTTCTCGGTTCGATTGCACACGAGTGCGAGTACGATTATTTTCAGCTGTGCGGTTTCTTGCCGCTGTTGTTCAGTTTTTTCTTTCTTTCTTTCCTTCCTTTTTTTTGTAATTTTTGTAAGCTTTTCTGCTTTATTTGCCGTTCGGTTCCATTTTTCGAGAGAGCAAAGAAAAGTGTGTCGCACTCTGCAGCTTCTGCTGCATTTCTGATGGCCCAGCATCGGCAGAGTCTTTAAAATCCGGGTTTGTGAGGCGAGCTTGGGTTTCGAGCCAGCCTTCGTTCGGGTTGAATTTCACTATTTGGGTCAGCGATGATGAAAGCGCCAATGATAATGATGATGAGGCCTAATGATCACCACGCTCGCAAACTATTTTCCGCGCTGTAACTACACGAGCGCGCGTCTGTTTGTTGTTTTTAAGTTTTACAGCGCCTTTGGAACAGGCGCGCAGTTTTTCAAGCAGCGCTGCTGCACTTACAGCTGCACTTGCTCGCTTACAATGAAAAAACGACAGCGGCAGCAAAAGCAACGAAGCAACGGCAACAGAAGCAGTCAGCAAGCAGTGCGATGCACAATACACAACAACAGTAGCCGCCTGTGCATGTGTACACGTTTGCATGTGTGACTTGACTGCTTTGTAACGGCAGCTTCTCCGACTTGAAGCTCACTCACACACATACATATGTTCTCACACTCGCGCATCGGCCGGCCATCGATGGGGCTTATATTTTCTTTCTGGCAGCCCTATCCCTCTCTCACGCTCTTCCCCTCGCTTGCTCCTCACTCTCATTGACTCTCAAGCAGTGCTGCCGAAAGTAGTTGCAAGAAACTGCAAAAGTAGCTAAATTGTTTTAATACTCGGTTTTGGCACTTTGAGCTTTGGTAGAAGCATACACTTCATTGTAGTAAAACTCAACTTTTTTAGGCTATCACTAAAAATGTATTTTCATATTAAATTGGATTTACTACATTATATATTATAACCAAAACTTCATTGACAAAAAGTTCAATTTTCCCCCTCAGCATTAATAGTTGCAGCACCGCTAATTTTGCATAAGTCCGTGAACCCATTTTTCGCTTATTACGCATTACATTTAAAATATGTGAATTGGCAAATACTAGATTCAACTGGAAGCAATGTACAATGTACAATCAATTTTAAAGCGATAGTAGTTTTGTATTGATATTGACAATTCGTTTTATTTTAAACTTAGCGTTTGCTTATGCAATTTAACAAATGCTAAAAATACAATAAAAGCACCATAAACAGCAATTCGTTTTTGCGTGTTTGCGTCGGCGTTTTGTTGGTAATTGTAATTGCGTTTTAGTTGTTTTGCTCGTTCGCTTCGCACTGCGCACTTGTGTGCAGTAGTTTTCAACCGACACACTCACACACACATAGCCCCCACTATGTTTTCATCGGGTTTGTTTTGCTCGCTGCTTCGCTTTTGTTGTTGCCAATTTTTGCGCAGCTACGGTCTTTGTCTTTTTATAATTTTTTGTTTTTCTCTTCGCCATTTGCGTGCACATTTCTCTCTGTGAGCTAAAAACCTGTTTTCCCAAGGTGTTTGTGCTTGCACGAGTCGCTTTTTTTGTTGCTGTATTATTATTGTGCTTTTATCTAGTCGCAGTTGTTTGCCTGGGACAGCTGGCTGGGGGCCACGCCCACCATTCGCCGCCACCGCCCCCTTGCTCGCCATTCCTTCTATTTTTAGCCAGTCGCCTAAACAACCTTTAGAATTCTTCTTGATTAGCACACCGAGTAAATCAGTTTTACATCTATACCAAGAAATTAAATACGTATTATTTTGTTTCTTTTGAAATTATTATGTATGTATATACAGATGTTGGGAATTTCTTAAATGGCTAATTGGTGTAGTAACTTGGCCATTACCCCTCCTAGCTTATCTCGTTTAACCCTTGAGCGGCAGATAGTAACCAGTCGAAGTCGAACGATCCAGATTCCAGTTCTCCTACCCTGGGAGCGTCCAAGTTCCATTGAACTCGGGTTAGGAATGTTTACATAGTATACGTTGTATACACACATTGAGAATGCATGAAAACCAGTTGCACTCCGCGTTCTAATCTAATCTCATTAAGTAGCGTCGCCGACATCGCTGATTTATGCAAACCATCGACTGCCCGTCAAATACTTAATGGTTATCCAAAGTGAATAGGTACTAAGGTCATTCGTATACGGATCAGCATCTTAATGGCGTGTACAACTTCAGTCTTTAATATGCTAGGTGGGGCAAGGAAGGTTAAACAGCTCCTTTACGACTTTATGCAACATAACTATTATTATATACATATGTATATTGTCATATCATACTATATTATATTTATCGTTCTCTTTTAGGAGTACGACATCTCCAAGAAATGCGAATACCTGTTTAAGCTCGACTACAGCCTAATAGAGCTGGATAATACGAACGGATTGCTCAGTCCGCGATATCCCGGCCGAATACTCATCCCAGAATGTGAGCACGGGCACATGGCCAAGACGCTGGTACCGGGAAATGGACTCTTCGGGCAAGTTGGTGGAGGATTGGGAGGTGGTGGCTCCTCGGGAACAACCGCTACCGCCACGCCCCTGAACAGCAGTGCAGGAAGCACCGGAAGCGAGGGTGTGGGCATCCAAGCTTTTGTGACCTTTGCCAATCCCCTGCAGACGCAACAACAGCATCCGCTCCAGCAGCCATATCCCTCGCAGCAGACGCATCCCCTCCACACGCAATACCCCTCCCAGCAGCCACATCCTCTCCAGCAGCAACAGCAGTCATCGCAACAGCAATCCCAAAATACGATATATGAGGATCAGTACGATATCCAGCGAATGCGGGAATTGGTAACGATGGCCAAGTACGCGAGATGCCGTCAACGATTCGCCGTCCCTGTGATCATGTATCGCGGAAAGTACATATGCCGTTCTGCCACGTTATCCGTTATGCCAGAAACCTACGGTCGGAAGGTGGTGGACTATGCCTACGACTGCCTGAGTGGCGGCAATTACACCGCGCCAAATGGGGAGGAAAACGATGCGGACTCCACGGACGAGTCGCTGATCACCCACATGCACGACCAGGCGCAGTCGCAGTTCAGCTACGACGAAGTCATCAAGAGTGACATCCAGTTGCTACATTCGCTCAATGTCTCAACCATTGTGGACCTGATGGTCGAAAACCGCAAGATCAAATACTTCATGGCGTGAGTACACTCTAAAATACTGAGTTCAAAACACTCACTGATCACCAACCTATTTTTTTTTAGCGTTTCCTCGTCAGAGAAAGCGGATCCCAACAAGCACTATAAGAGCTTTAATCTTCTATCCCTGCCGTATCCGGGCTGTGAGTTCTTTAAAAAGTTCCGGGACAATAACTACATGGCGCGCAACCTGCACTACAACTGGAAGCAAACGTTTAACGATGCTAATATCAACATTCCCAACATGGGACCCGCTGCGGATATCGATGTGGCGTGGTCGGAGTACCGGGATTGGGATCTGGTGGCCATCACCCAAAACTACTTAAGAGCCACGCTGAAATACGTGCAAGAGGAAAGCTCCGGCCTGCTAATTCACTGCATCAGCGGCTGGGATCGCACTCCACTGTTTGTCTCCTTGGTCAGGCTGTCTCTGTGGGCAGATGGACTCATCCATCAGTCGTTGAACGCCATGCAAATGGCGTATTTAACACTGGCCTATGACTGGTACCTGTTTGGCCATCAACTGCCCGATCGCCTTAAACGAGGCGAAGACATCATGTTCTTCTGCTTCCACGTGCTCAAGTTTATCACTGACGAGGAGTTCAGCATTGTGGAGCACCGCAAGCGCACCAAGACATCCAGCAGCAGCGGCAGTAGTGTTATTGTAATTAAATCCGACTGCTGCGACGATGAACCGCTCAAGGAGTGAGTATAGCCAAGTATAGCAATTAAACATTGCGTTTATAAGTTCATTTACATTCAATTGCAGAGACTACATCCTTTCCTTCGATCAAGATAGCAACGACAGCTACTCAAACTGTTCCAACTGTGATATGTCCATAACAGATAACTTCTATGCCACTACGCCATCGCAAGTCAATCCGCTGACCAGCAGGTCGCCCAATCCGAAGAGGTTGAACCGCCCTGACCAAAATAAGAAACCTGACTAACTTTGGCTCAACCTGTTTCAGATCTAGAACCAGCCCCATTTCAGTGCCCGGATCAAATGCGCGACAAAGACAGGAGTCTACATCCTCCAATGGCAGCTGGCAGGTGGTTACCGATACGGGCTCAATTGACTCCATGATGAACGGCAGCTACATGATGCGGTTTGTGGCGCAACAAGCAGCGGATGGTGGCGGCTCCTCAAACATTCCTCTGTGCAATGGCGGCAACGGCTACCACTGCAGCATCAATGCAGCATCGAGCGGCAGTGGAAGCGGAAGTGGAAGTGGAAGCAGCATCAGTAACGGCAGCTCGACGCACGGTTTCGCAAACGGTTCCTCCAAAGATGTGGGCGGCAGCACTATGGCCAGCAAGCAATGCATAAACTTGTAAGTTAAAGCTTGATACTTGGCCAATGACATTAATGACATAATTTCGTTGTACAATTGCAGACGAAAGCAACGCCTGAATGCAGTGCGCGCCATTTTTATACAAGCCTACGGCAAGACGATTGGACTGAAATTCAAGGAAGGCTCATCCATGAACCTGGCCACGTTCATTGGGAACCTGGCGGACCAACTGTTTTGAGAAAGGATCAGCAGCAATGACCGTTTGTTAGATTTTCACCCCATTGTTTCTTGTTAAGTGCTGCGCTTTCAACCAACGACTGTATTTATAGACCTGTTGAATTGCGTTCTTTAGTGACTGTTGATGATTGTGTAGTGTAACGGATAACTGATTACCGATAAGCATCGAAAGAACCAGACGGATCCTAGGCAATGAGCAAACTTCCGTAGTCCTCCTGCCCTGGCTAACCCGCTCTCCTGTTCTCTTGGTTCTCCCGCTCCCCGCTCCTTGTTTATTTAGTTATTAGTTCTTCGAGAATGCAAAGCAAGCGAAATATAAAATGCGATTTGGATTATACAATAGTTTTAAGTTGTAATTTATAGTAATGTATTTTTTAATAAACTTATGTGCATTTTATACGAAAGAAAGTCATGTTCTCAGCGTAGGCCGCCTGGAACGCCGGATTCTGACTAAAGGAACATAATCCTTAAAATCCACTCGCTTCACCCGGATGCGACAACTTTTAATGTAATATTTCGCGCTTTTAAGTGGAACGTAGCGCGGTGTTTCAGTCGGTCGGTCGTCAAATTTTTTTTTACCTTGAGTTACAGGTTCGTCCGCTTTTTCTGTTTTGATTTCTACATCATTTGATCCATTGCTAACATAATTATCGCTGATTGTCTTGCTAGTCCCCGCATTCCTTCCATTGGCATTTACGATATTCTGTTTTGAGTGAGGACTAATGCGGAATCTATACATTGCCGGACGGAGTAAAGTGTCTGCTGGAAGCTCTTTAACCCGTATTGCTTTAAGAAACTCGTCGTATTCGCTCTGAGCGGTCTCTAGCTCCTTGGGACCAAGCTTTTGAGTGGCTTTCTCTAGGCGCTCCTGCTCTAGAATGAGGTCGAGGACCTCTACTTCTAAACGCCGGCGTCCCGATTGCGACAGAGATTTCACTAAATTCAACTGACTGAGAAGGAACTCTTGGCACTTGGTTTTGGGCACATTCGTCGGCTTCTCCGCTTGCATGCGGTTGTGCACGTTGTTCATCACCCGCCACAGGGGATCAGGGATTTGCCCAGGGGCACCAGACAAAGCACTGATCAGCGGACGCAGTTTCACCCACCGCAGCTGCAGTTCAGTCACGGAGAACGGAGCACTAAGCTCAACGCCCTCGTACTTTTGGTTAAAGGACTTGGCCAGCTGATTCCATCCCCAGGAGTCGTAGTCATCGTCCATTTGGGGCTCCACCTCGGTTATGATGAGGAAGGGATACCGGCTGAGCATCTCCATAAGCAGCACGTCGTTTAAAACGACCTGGCCACTGATGTTGGTGTTTGATACGTTGATTTCCATATGCGGAACGTTGGTATGGGTCACCGTTTCCTCGGCGCTGTCGGTACTCATTTTATTATTTTCAGCAGTAGGTTGTTTCAAGGTTTTATAATATGCTTCGTCCGTATGTTTCAAGTTACCACATAACGGTAATTGAGCTGTTGTTATTATTTCCTTAATTAACTCTTTATATATTTTATGTTAGCGTTTGTATTGCAAACTAACAGAGATGAATGTTTTTCGATGACAACAATCGATATAACACAGATCCAATCGATAGGCTGCACACTCGATATTTGGCGTTAACAATCGATAGCCGATCATACCATCACCAGCGAGAAAGAAGCGTCGTGAAAAAAGCCGCAAAATATACACAGACTGAAATATTTTCGCGAATTTCTTGAACACCTCGTGCGGAAAGTTATTCGAAACGCCCCAAAATGAGTGGCGGCACCATGCTATATGGCGGCGACGAAATAGGTGCCCTGGTTTTCGATCCCGGACATCACTCCTTGCGTGTGGGCTACGCACAGGAGGATTCGCCCAAGGCGGAGATACCCTCGGTTGTGGGAATTGGAGCCGCTCCGGAGACCAATCTCGATCCGGAGACCAAAACAGACAACAATGCCACGCCAAATAGTGAGTTTCCTCAGAGCCTTTTATATATCGTTTAAAATCCGTTAAAACCCCGAAAAAAACGCCAATCCCTCCTCTAGATGCTGATCAGCGCAAGTTCTATGTGGACACCAACTACGTGACCGTTCCCCGTTCCAATATGGAAGTACAGACCTATATGAAAGACGGTATGATCGACAACTGGGACCTGTTTGAGAAAGTGATTGATTACGCCTACGCCAATGTCATTCAGTCGGAGCCGGAATATCACCCTGTGCTCTTTTCCGAGGCATCGTGGAATGTCCGCAACAACCGCGAGAAGTTGACCGAGCTGATGTTCGAAAAGTACAATGTTCCAGCCTTCTTTCTGGTGAAAAACGCAGTCCTGGCTGCCTTCTCCAGCGGGCGGGCCACCGCTTTGGTCGTCGATAGCGGAGCCACTCACACTTCAGCCGTTCCTGTCCATGAGGGCTATGTGCTCTCCCAGGCGGTCGTTAAGTCACCTCTGGGTGGAGACTTTCTTTCACGACAGTGCCGCCAGCATTTGGAGAAGCACGGCATTGATCTGTCACCGGTATACAAGATTGCCTCCAAGGACGTCGTGAAGGAGCGCGACAACGGACGGTTTACGTTGCGCAAACTGCCAGAGAATCTGACTCAGTCGTGGCAGAACTACATGTTGCAGCTAATGATGCAGGACTTTCAGATGAATGTGCTGCAGGTTCTAGAGAATCCATTTGACGAACGGGTGGCTGCCCAGATCCCGACGGTGCACTATGAGTTTCCTAATGGATATCACCAGGACTTTGGTTCTGAGCGGTTCAAGATAGCAGAGAGTCTCTTTGACAACGCCATGCTGGGAGCTGGCCAATTGGCGTCCACCAGCGTGGGCATGTGTGATGCGGATGTGCGGCTGTCACTTTTTGGCTCAGTTGTCGTTACTGGTAGGCATTATCCAAAGGTTTATTCTCAATACACCACTAATATCTTAATATTTTGCTCTTAGGTGGCAATACTCTTTTGCAAGGCTTCCCGGAGCGCCTAAATCGCGATCTCCAGTTACGTGCTCCCTCAAACACGCGCCTAAAAATGATTTCTGCCAATGGCAGCGTGGAGCGAAGATTCGGAGCTTGGATTGGCGGCTCCATCCTAGCCAGCATAGGTACTTTCCAGCAGATGTGGATATCGTCACAGGAGTACGAGGAGGCCGGCAAGAGCCAAGTCGAGCGGAAATGTCCGTAAAGACAGCGCAATCGAATTCCAATTTTAATTTTAAAGACGCAACTCTATGTAATAATATAAATGTGAACTTTTAAGTGTCCCATTATTCAGAAGACGTTCTAGCGTTTGTTTAGGAATAGATTGCATTTGATTACGAAATGTTTTTAGTTACACACATATGTATATATTTACTGCGACCCTGACGCGGACGTTACAGTTTCACATTTCAATGGAGTTTTTACCGAATGCCTTTTGTCCCTCGGATCTAATTCGTACGTAATGGATATGGAGTGAACTCTGGGTCCACGCTTTTTGTGGAACTGTTGATAAAGTGGTGGCACATAAATCTTGCGGCGAATCAGCGTCTCTTCTGTTATTTCGTGGCAGAGTTTTATAAATCGTCACATGGCTCCAGACATTGTGTTGTTGCAAACGCATTGCTATGGGAGAAACACATGAACTTAGTTTATAAATACTTATGTATACCTCAGCTCAGTTACCTTGGCATTTAGTATGTCCTCCGACCAGTCTTCCTTGGCGATTCGACCAACAGCGTTAACCAGGATCTTTTTCACCTTGATCACGTTCTCGGCAAAAGTACGAAGTACATCCTGCACGTTGACACCCTCGCAGCCCATGCGCCAACAGTCGTAGTCCGTGGCAATGGCCACCGACCCATAGAGTAGGCCTGCCTCCTTGGCCAGCACCACCTCCGGACACGTGGTCATGTTTATAAGGTCTCCGCCCCACTGACGGAACATTTGGCTCTCGGAGCGTGAGGAGAAACGCGGACCCTCAATCGTCACAATTGTGGCCTTATCGTGTGCGGGAATGTCCAGCTCCTTGGCCGCCTCGATCAGAATGTTGCGAGTGCGTTCGCTGAACGCCGGAAACATGGGCAGGTGGCAAACACCACGTGGACTTTGTGCCTTGCCATCGTAGAAGGTCTGAAGGCGTTTAGTAGTCCTGTCGATGAAGTCATGTGGAACAACCAGGTTGCCCGGCTTAATTTCCTCACGCAAGGACCCACATGCTGTAGAGACAATTAGGTGGGTGCAGCCCACGTCGCGAAGGGCCCAGATGTTGGCCCGGTAGTTAACATTGGAGGGCATAATGTCGTGCTTGCGTCCATGACGCGCCAGGAGCACGCACTGTACTCCATTGATTTCGCCTTCAATCAGAGCATCAGACGGTTCTCCATAGGGCGTCTCAACCACGCGTTCCTGCCGCTGTTCCAGGATATCTGGGTCGTCAAGTCCCGAACCGCCAATAATACCAATCTGTGAGTTATTTATAGTTTGGCATTGAACAAAATTAGGTGCTTCATTTTTGTACGGGCCATGAACTTACCTTAATCGGAAGCGGGTCCAGATTGGTGTCTTTACATTTAATCGTAATCATGGCTAGCGACGGATTGTGCTTTTACAAGCTGCTGGGAAGGCGGTCTGGAGCAGAGTAGAATGTTCCCGCTGATAGCGCACTGATAACTGTGTGTCTACACGGTAGGGTGCATAAGCCGCAAAAGTTCGGGCATATTGAAATAGCACTCACTACGTCGTCGTGGGTGTGTAATTATGGTAATTTAATTATTTTTGCAGTAGGCGGAGCTTTTTATAAAGTTTATAATAATAGTGTATAATAATAGTTATATTAAATTAATAAGTTTAATTATGAATTATGAAATTAAACTGCCATCGCGGTATAATCATTTGTTAAATTATCATAATTTTAAACTAACAAATTCTTTTTATTTTATCTATTAAAATTGATAGCTCTTCGTACTAACCACAATTTCAATGAAATCTAAACACATTAAGTGAAAACTGGCATAGAATAAATTGTTTATTGTATCGTTTAAGTGGCGAACTTGATTTTGACGCTTATAATGTAGGGTGACTAGAACTTACAGCCGACCCTGTTATCGAGCCGTTTATCGGTACCCTACCCATACGCACTTCACAACACTATCGAAGCGAAGAAGAAGAAATCTGAATGTAAACAGCTGAAAGGAAGTGCGGCACATGTGTCTTGGCATAAAAGCTTGAACTAGGAGACGGAAACACAATGTACCACCTTGGACAGGATCTTCCAGGCAACGATGTGGATGACATCGAGGATCTGATATCCGCCGACGATGTGAAGCCGCGTGAGCGCTACGAAAATAAAAAGAACGTTACGGTTCGCGCTAAGAAACGAACCCAAATCCGACTTGAGTCTCAGGAGGAAGAGGAGTATAAACCGAAGTCTACCATCCACGAAAGTGTTATACCCGGCACCCAAAAAGTTTTTGTGAAAACATGGGGCTGCGCCCACAACAATTCGGACTCGGAGTACATGGCCGGGCAGCTGGCTGCCTACGGATACAGATTAAGCGGCAAGGAGGAGGCGGATCTGTGGCTACTCAATAGCTGCACGGTGAAGAATCCTTCGGAAGACACGTTCCGCAACGAGATTAAGTTGGGCATGCGAAATGGCAAGCACGTTGTGGTCGCCGGTTGCGTCCCCCAGGGAGCCCCCAAGTCGGACTACTTGAACGGTCTTTCTGTAATCGGTGTCCAGCAGATCGACCGAGTGGTGGAGGTCGTTGAAGAGACCCTTAAGGGTAACAGTGTCCAGCTGTTGCAGAACAAAAAGAAGGTCCATGGCCGACGCGTGGCTGGAGCACCACTCTCATTACCCAAAGTCCGCAAGAATCAGTTAATCGAGATCATATCCATCAACTCTGGATGCTTAAATCAATGTACCTACTGCAAGACTAAGCACGCCCGTGGGGATTTGGCCAGCTACCCCCCAGAGGAGGTTGTAGAGCGCGCCCGCCAATCGTTTGCTGAAGGCTGCTGCGAGATCTGGCTTACTTCCGAGGATACAGGAGCTTATGGCAGGGATATAGGAAGCTCTCTGCCGGAATTGCTCTGGCAGCTTGTGGAAGTGATCCCCGAGCACTGCATGCTGCGTGTGGGCATGACCAATCCACCCTATATTCTGGAGCATCTTGAGGAAGTGGCCAAGGTGCTGCAGCACCCTAGAGTATACGCCTTTTTGCATGTTCCTGTACAGGTAAAAATCGAGTTCAATAGACCTAGTTCAATCATTGTATATGCTAGACAATTGTATCTTTTTGCAGAGTGGTAGTGACTCAGTGCTGGGAGAGATGAAACGGGAGTACTGTCGACAGGATTTTGAACACGTCGTGGATTTTTTGAGGGAGCGTGTTCCCGGTGTAACAATTGCCACAGATATCATTTGCGGTTTCCCAACAGAGACAGAAGCGGATTTCGAGGAGACGATGACCCTGTGCGCTAAGTATCGCTTTCCCAGTCTATTCATCAATCAGTTCTTCCCTCGTCCGGGCACACCAGCTGCTAAGATGGAGCGCATTCCCGCAAATCTAGTGAAAAAGCGAACCAAACGACTCACAGATCTCTTCTA